GTCAAGCACGTTCTTGCCATTTTGCTACACTTTTTGTTGCCCTTGCCTTGCAAGAAAAAAAGGAATGACGTTTGGGAAGCTGCATGAGACAGGCGGCTCTCTGCCGTCGGGTCTGTTCGCTCTTGCCTGTCGTCTTTGTTTTTTTTTTTTTTTTTTTTTGCTTCCTTCCCAGGTCAAAGATTCGTTTCTCCGTTGTCCCTTCCCTCGACCCTGTCTGTGCCTTGCGCCGCCAAACTGGAATTAATGCAAAAGTGCAAAGTGCAACATGCAAGATGATTAAGTACCAAACATGCCAAACAACTACGACGTAATACCAAGCACCAATCCAAGCGTCGCCTCATCTATCACACTCTATCGCAGTCGGACGGCGCACATAGTACCCCCGTACCAACGGCATTGAACAATGTACGACGTCCGGCACAGTCTCTCCATATGAAAGGAATAGCTGACGAACGGTTTGCGGAAGACACAACAAACAAGGGAACGGGGCAACAAGAACGAGAAGACGGCGAGGAAAATTGGTATGTCGATCTGCTTCCCGGCGTGTTGACTTTCTTGTCTTTTCGTTTGCCGAGGCTTCAATGGCCATTCAAGCCTTTTGTTTCTGTGTTGTTGTACTTTTGTGTTTTCTTGAGTGTATTATTATCGTCTGTCGGAATGCTGTATGCCGCAGTCAACAGTCAGCAGTGGCACCACGGCGCATGCAGATCCAGTGTCATATCAGAATCCTCCGAAGAGCCAAGCAGTCCACGACTTCTGCTGACTGAGTGCACATGACAGAACAAAAAAAAATATAGCAACAGAAAGCAGCGGAAGCAACACAAGCAACGCAGGCTGTACGCTCTTCGTGGTAGTGCGCATTCCTTGTGTATGCGCCTCGGAGAACAGGGTCGACAGGGTCTTTTTCCTGAGACAGCGTACATGCCAGAGCTCCTTGCGGACCAGGAACAGTGGCGGAGGCGAAGGAGGGATGCAAAACAAAACGAGGGAGAGAGAAAAAGTACTCCGTACCAGGTAACGGATAGACTTCATTCCAGTTGCATTCCAGGCTGAGGAAAGCAAACTAGGCAAAGGACACGGCCAAGAAGAGCTGGTCTCCGACCGGCGGCGAATCTTCCGAGAAGAGCAGAGCGGAACACAATTCCAACAAGCAAGTCAAGAGAGCAGCGAGAGCGATAATGAACAAGAAGCTTTAGGAAATGAACCGGGATCAACTAGGACACTTGGAGAACAGCCATCCAGTCAGTGTCTTGCGGCCAAAGTTGGCCACAAAAGGGAAAGCAAAGGAAGGGAAAGGGGACAAAAAGGTTCTGACACTGTCAGCCCACGGGATTGACTGCAGGCCGAAGTGTGGCTGACGGGCTGAATCGATCGTTCTCGTTGTCTGAATGGCCAGAGCCGAGCTGCAGAGTTACAACTGCGGAGTACAGACACAACTCCGCGTGAGTGTGTGGCTGAGAAACGCTGCAGGTTTCGAAGTGAGCCGAACGTGAGCCCAAAGTTATTATTAGAGCACTTGGAAGGAGAGCTAACAAGAGAAGACGACTTACGACACACGCCAGTACCAATAACGGAGACGATGTTTACGACTTACAGCCGCCACACACCCAGCTAGCTACAAACGAAGCTCACTGGCGCCCGGCTCCCTCCGACCGTCGCGCGCGAAGACGAGCGATCTGTCGCCGAGACCGTCTTGAATGGCGTCCACGGGTACTTTCGACTTTCATAACCGTCGTGACCATCTCGACGGTCTGAACACTCTTATATTTTTGCCTTCTCCGTATTTGTCTTATCTTTTGCACACAACTATGCCCGGGGCACATTAACCGGACGTTGGGGCCATTGAGCACGTTGAGCCCGTTGAGCACGTTATATCGGTTGTTGTTGTGTTTCTACGCCGCCGTCATTCCAGTCCGGCGTGCTGAAGAGTGCTAGTGTCGTTCGTCTTGGAACGACGACGACGATCTTTGGCCGTTTGGGACAATTTTGATGTCATTTGGCCCTTACCGCGCACAGAGCGATCCGCCGGCTGATTTAGTGTCTAACCTAAGTGCCAGGCCAGGTGTGATCTGACGGGAAAGAGGGCAAAATATCACGATTGCAACTGACACAATGACAAACGACTGCACTACAGAACTATTGCGTTTCGATTGACGCCGGGCCTCGATAACGGTCTTGGTCCGTCCCACACCATCTCCCCTCGCTTGTCTTTTGTTTCGTGTCTCCAGTCTCTCGGTGTGTGCCGCGATAACAGTCCTGAGATCGATCTGGCAGGCTAAGGACAGGACGGACGAGAATGGCCAGAAAAAAGAGGCCGAGAAATTGAAGCGATGTTGAGCAACTTGCCGACTGTGATGTGCGGTCGTTGTTTAGCGGAGCGCGGCATATCACACCGGACGGATACAAACAAAAATCGATCGACACGGCATAAACGCATACATTGCATTTCCAAGCACAACACACTTGCTGGTCGACGTCCGCAGCGGAAGAACACCCCAGCCTCTCCGCCTCTCCCCCCACCAGAATAAATTGAGCCAGCCAGTTGGGAGTATGATTTGTTAACTGCACGATATGGCTGTCGGATGCAGGACAGAAGGGACCCGACCGTTAACGTTGTTCCCGTTGCTTGTAGCACTGTCATGGACAATAATGGCGCCTGCTATTGCAGACGTCCGATATTGCAGGACAGCCTCCATCGTCCATCGCCAGACGACCGCCAACCTCGATTTTTGGGCAGAGTTATCCTGCAATCGTGGAAGCGCTGGCCGGCCTCTCCATTGGGCCATATACATTGTCGGTGGCGGCAAGCGTCTCGTGCGATTTTTAGGGGCGCGAGGTGCGGTTTGGGGTGTCCGGGTGTGTTGCATTTTGTGGATATTGGCCATGCTGTTTGGTAAAACTATGCATCAGAAAAGCGCACCAAAAAGCGTACGTTTCTCTCCGGGCCAACCAGAACCATCAGATGGCCAATCTGCGGCGTGCCCAAACTTAGCACCCGCATGAGAGGGGAAAGCCGACCAGACTCGACGATGCTATCCATTTTCGAGAGTGGAAAAAACAAAGCGAAAATGCGACACGGCGCAAAGGGGCAAATGTTCGAAAACAAGTACGGTCAAATTCACAAGCCCACTGCGTGCACGCCAACTTTATTCCCATCCATCTTGTCCGGGCGGATCTCCAGCAATAATCAAAGGCCTGAAAAACGACTAGCTATGATGAGCAGTAGTTAGTAGTTTGGCATTTTCCTCGTTTTAGTTGTCGAGGGTGTACGACGTACAACAGACTTCAAAAATGATTGGTTGATGAATGTCGAGGACAGTCCAAGGACGGGTCTGGCCTCGGCCTCGCCAAACTCTACGCTCTCTGCACTGGTGGCACTGGTGGCGCTGGTTGCATTGGCTGGTCTCAACAGCTGGCCAGCCTCCGAGCCACGCGTTGTGCTTTTTCGACTTTTGATACGAACAAATTGGAGCAAGTTGGGCCAGTTGGCAAAAGTTGGAAGGCTTTGTCTGGCGTCGTTGGGTGCAGTTGCGTGAGTGAGAGCAAGACAACCAACCACCACAGCACCAGAGTGTTGGCGCACGGTTGCACTTTGGTCTGTCAAGCTGGCCAAGATATGTGATCCTGGCTTGGCCGACGATGGCCAGCACAGGCCGGTGGGAGTTCAGTCGAGGAATGCTACAGAGCCAGCAGACGCACCCCGACACCGCGAAACCGGGAGCCGGCCAACCGAAGTGGACAAACGACTGAATACTAAAAGCAGCATCTCTTACGACGTACCTCATACTTTTGCGTGCACGTTCACTCCCATCATCGACAACGTGCGGCCTTGCTCTCGCCACCGAGCTACCTCTCCCTCGCTCACTCCCTTCCAGCCGCGCCCTCTCTGCAAAGCAACGTCGTCGGGTCGTCATCGCGATTGCAACGGGGCATTTGTGAGCCCCCCATGTGTCGTCTTCCTGCTCCTATTCTCCCTGTCTCAGCACTGAGTAATTATACTCAGTGCCTCACCCCTCACCCCTCTCACCTCCACCTTCAATGCCCTCACTCGCGTCTTGGCCTCGCCCTTCCGTCTCCAGTAAACGCGTCTCCACTCACGTCGTCTCTTTTTTTGTCGTTGCATCTTTTCAGTCCTTCTTAACCCTCCCTCGATTAACGACCCAAAAAAGGGGGAGCTGCATGCTAGCCTCGTCGTTAAGCTTTCGTCTTGCGCCATCTTGAAACAGCTCCGACGCAGAGTTGGGCACGATTCTGCCAGGGCCTTTTCGAGCTAATGCAACCACCCAAACAGTACGTCGTGCTATGTATGGACATCGGGAAGCACTTTTGCCCTCCTCACTGGCGTCAACTCGTCTCGACTCTCCTGACACATATCCCCTTGCTGCTTTAAATGAGGCTGTCTCGCTTCCCATGCTTGCCACGCCTTTTCTGCGTCGCCTGTTTTTCTTCTTCTCCACGTATACATCCTGCCATCTCCCTCCAACATCCCAACGGCGTGCAACTATTTAGTACAGCCCTTGCATTTTCGGTGTTTCTCGGTCTCCTCTCTCGGCCCTCTCGTGGCTACCTCGCCCTACTCCGCTCACCTCGTTTCTTAGTTGTACGTTTCCAGCTTGTTAATCATTAGAGTCCGAAATAGTCGACAAAAAGGAGACAAAACGCGTAAAGTGGTGTTTTGGGGGGAGGGAGCGGCGCCACAAACGTGCCTTGGGTTTTTTTCCTTCCAAGATAAAACCCAATACTAGAGGAGCTTAGGAGACTTGCAGCCCCTCTGCCCCTGGATTAGCACGTCTCTCTAGGCCAATCAAATTACACCATTGGCCCAGCAAAGCAAAACCTCAGGGAACCCAAAGCCAGGATCCCCCCATCTGGCGAGGATGTGCCTCTTTCCCTTTGAGTTGTGCCTGGACGATCGACAGCGTCTCGCTTGTCTTGCTGACTTTTGTTTTGTTCTCGTCGTTCTTAGTTCTCTTCGTATTCAGGTACAAGCTCCGATTCGGACAACTCTACATCGTATGACTGGGGAAAGGAGGTAGAGAGAGCTGCATCAGAAAAGGGGTAGCTCGATGGGTCAGAAGTAAAGAACTCTAACAAAAATAAAAATAAAAAACCGGGAAACAGGTCGACCTGCCTATGCAGCCGTATCGTTAGACTGCTCTGGCTACTGTTCCAATTTTCTAGTCTAGGAGAGCTTTATGGTGTGCACATAGCCAATGGTCGTAAAGGGGAAAGGGGGAAAGGAAGTAGAAAAGGAGAAAGTGGAACATCCAAAGACTCGCACAGAAGAGACAGCTATGAGTTGTGATAGGTAGTAACGGCGAAACCAACTCTTGAAACGCATAACGAGGTGATGGAAATGCATGGCGAGGCTGTGGTTCGAGCAAGAAAATGATTGAATGAAGTGTTGGAATTGGTCGACATGGAAATTAGAAGACAGCTATTTTTAATTATTTGTACCACTTTTAAATTTTTATTCCTTTGCGTGTCGTTTCTATAAGTTTTTCTAAAAAAGACAAAAAAAAAAAAAAAAAAAAAAAAAAAAAAAAAAAAAAAAACGTGAAAAACAACTCAAGAATACATGATTGGAAATGTTGAATAAAGTGCGCTCAAGTCGTTTTCTTCGCCTTCTTTCACCTGTCTCATAAATGCATAATGTAGAAAATCCACGGGTTATGACGAAGATCATGTTCTGCAACAGAATAACGTGGTCCTGTTTCGAAACAGGGTGACGCATAAATACACAAAAACTCGAAAACGAGTGAACACGTACGCCGTGCGTCTCTCTCACTGATAAGATCGCTTCTCTGCCCGTCCATGTACATCAATGACCAGTGATCGACTATCAATATGACGAAGAATGCCCAGAACGACCGGCGTCACCGACTCGGTGGCCCGCGGAACAAGCGAATAAAACACTACCGGACCTCCTGACCTGCTGGCTGTCCGAGTTTGGTCGGACATCGAACGATATGATTTTCTCCTCATGATGCTCTTATTTGTTTTTTCCTCCTTTCTGGTAGAGTACTCTTTTTTTAGACATTGATCTGAGGGGCATCCAGTTCGCACCCCCCGCATCCCTCAAAACGTGGCAGTGTGAAAATCGTGAATATCAAACAGAGATCGTTCGAAGAAGGGCCACTCTGATAGCTGATGTATGTAATCCTTCGTGAGACTGACCTGATCAAAAATACAGAGCGAAATCACCGGTACGTGCGAAGAAGCAGTATTACTTGCTGGGGCTTGGCTGCTGTTATAGAGTCGTTGAGCCAACGTGAAGGATCACGCACTGGCTCACTTCACGAGTAGATGCAATTCTGTTTAAAGTAGATTGTCAAACAACTGAATAAGAAAAAGACAAACAGGGGATATATGCATGCTAGGACGTGTATTGTCATCTCACAAAAAAGAAAAACAGAGTAGAAATATAAATCAAAGGTAGATCAAAGGGAACAAGAATACAAAAAAAAGGGTATAGCATTCTCTCCACACGCACGAGATCCGGTCGAGGTAGAGGGTAGGAGGCGGACCAGAGAACAAGGCACGAACAGAAAAAAAGACAAGAGGAAAACGAGGCTCCAGAGCCAGCTCTTTGCCTTACCGCCATAGGTCCCGCTTCTCACTACGGCTCTCGCCCACAGTGACGGGCCGCGGCCACAGGTCCGGACTCTGCTTAGGACTACTGGCAAGGTTGGTTCCGAAGCCACCGCCGCCGCCGCCACCACCACCTCCACCTCTCCCACCACCACCTCCAACCTCAGCATCGGGTACGGCCAAAAAGTTGCCCGGGCCCATGTTGATGAGTATGCTCTTGCGTCCTCCCACCGCGCCGAGGTCGGCGCCGAGTCCGTAGCTGCTAACGGGCCGGCTTGAGCTGCCATTGCCTCCGCCCAGGTTCATACCGGCACCAAAGAAGGGAAACGCGCCATCGCCGACAATGATTGAGCTCCAGTCGTTGTCGTCATCGCCCTTGGTAAACACCTCGAGCGTATGCACCTTTTGCGGCGAGATCATACCCGCAAACGGGTTGTTGCTGCTGAAGCGCGGGTTGTGGCCGGCCACCCACGGCTTTGGTGGAGATGCGCTGAGCGGGTCGAGGAAGGGATTGGTCGAAGGCGGCTTCATGCCGTTGCTGATGTTGCTGACGCCGGCATTGGCCGGAAGGGTGCGCGGCACGGTAGATTGTGGGAAATTAGGCGACTGCGGGCTGAGGAAGCCCACGGGCGAGTGCAATTGGCCGAGGCTGCCCGTCGACAGGGGTGAGTTGAGTGCCGATGCTGTCCCTGACGCCGAGCTAGCAGTTGCGGAGGCCGAGGCCGGCCGCCGGTTGTTGCTGCCGCCGCCACCAAAGTCGCCAAACGCAGCGCCGCCTATTGGGCCCGGCAGAGGGAGGTCGCCGAGTAGGGACTCGGGGAACTGCGCATCGCGCACGTGCACGGCCCGTAGGTTGGGCAGGCCGCCCGACAAGATCGACCCGGAGAGGTAGTTGTAGTACGACCGCGTCACGCCTGCGTACGGACTGACACCTTTGGCAGGCGCGATCTCGTAGTTGAGCGTTCGTAGCGACGCCGACGCCAGAGGCTGGATGTCCTTTGTGTTTGCGGCAATCGGCAGTGCTGCTGTGACCTCGTCGACAACTGTCAGGTGCCGCAGATTCGGCGTGCGATCCAGAAAGCCGCGCAACGACCACGGCTTGACGCCCGTGCTGTTCAGCGTCAGGACCTTCAGGGCGCGACCCGACTCAGGCCGGCTCAGATAGGCATGCAGACCCTCAGACGTCAGCATCTGGGTGTTGGTCAACACTAGCTCCTCCAACGGCGGCAGACTCGTGGTGTAGAAATCGTGTGGTGGCCCCCCGGCAACGCCGTCCGCAGGCGCGGAAACAAGCACATCATCCGAGAACGTATGCGGTCCTGCCGATGGCTCTGTCACCTTGAGGGCCCGGAGCTCGGTCAGCAAGCACAACACGTGGCGCAGCATCGCCGGGTCGACTGCGATCTTGACCAGCTCGAGCACTTCGAGGTTGCACCAGCGGTTGCCCGATGCGAGCGCCTCAAGACTCCGCTCCGCGCCGCCCATGTACGTCATCTTGCGCAGCCCAGGGCACTTGGCTTCGATCTCCAACTTGAGTGTGAGGTAGGCGGGTTCGTCCATGAACAAGCCCTCGGGCAGGTCGACGTAGCGCAGGTTCTGCAGCACGGACACGGTTCGTGCAATATCGGGGTGCCGTGACTCACGCAGCATGTAAGGGAGCTTGAGGAACTGGACATATGGGGCGAGACGGTGTGTAGGCCCATCGCGGAGGGTGCGGCAGAGGAGCTTGAGGCGGGCGTCCGGTGTGTCTTCGGGCTCGGCGTTGCGGTCGAAGAAAGAGCGGCGTTTGCGCTTTTCGGCGAGGATGGCTTCGCGTGCACAGTAATGGACGGTGTCTATGCGGATGCTCGTATATCTAGACACGTTAGTAAAACGATCAATGGTCTTAAGATATTGCAACACGAAAGAAGAACTCACAAAACCTGCTCGGCGACAGGCCGCCACCGTCGGCACACGTGCACACAGTGTGCCAGGTCCCGCGTGTCGCAGAGTATGCAATCGCCAAAGGTAGAGTCCTCGCACTTCTCGTAGGTCCGGTCCTGGCTATGTGGACATACAAAGACAAATATGCGAGCTAGTACGTCCTCCGGAAATGTCTGAAGAAGCCGCGCTGATAATGCGGTCGCAGAGACCGCAACCACCGGTGTTGGATTTGTTGCACCGCGTCGGCCGTTGCCATTGCCACTCCCGTTGCCGCCGCCGCCGAAAGCCTTGAGCGCCTTGAAATTTCGACTCCGCGAGGTGTTGCCGCCGCTGCCGCCTTTAGCTGGCAGGTCGGCCTCTGATAAGGTAAAACTAGGGCCATTGGAGCTGCCGTGGCCAAGGTAATTCTGTCCGTTGTCCCGCACTCTGTCGTCGGCGACGGACGCGATCTTCTGCTTGTCTCGCTTCCGGAAAAGATTCATTTTGCGCAATGTGGGCAGCTTCATAGGGTAGAGGACAGAAGCTTGGTGAGGTAGTAAGGCGGGGAAGGAGGAGGCGGGAATGAGATGAAGAGGGTCCGAACGCAAGGGGACAGAAGAAGGAGAATATGAGGAGAAGGAAAGGCGCAAAAAGAAGAGCAGAGAAGATGGATTAGAAGTACAGGCGCAGAGAGGGGAGAAAGATCGCCAAAGGGATGATGAGCCCCGAGTCGGACTGTGGAAAGCGATGAGTTGGGATGAATTTCCACAAGTGGCTAATCCAACGGGCTGCACCGTAATGGCCGTGATCTCGTCAGGTTTCGAGATTTGGTTGGCTGACACGCTTTTCTGTATTTCGCATGCGGCCACTGCTTTGGACGACAGGGGTAGGTTGGTAGCGGTAGTGGCGCGAATCGATGGCAGTCGTTTGGACGATTGGAGAGAAAGAAGAGATGTAAGGCGTGTGTGAGCTGACAGCTCTGGGGCGCAGCGTGCTCGCTTTTGCTGTCTTCGCTGTCCGTTTTGTGTTGAGCTTTGCCCTTTTATTTGCTATGGTTTGATGCTGGCGATGTTGTGTTCGCTGCGTGTGGTTTTGGTTGGAAGCCATAAGGGCATGGCGGTTGCGCCTTCCTTTTTGTGACACTTCGTCTCACCTCTGCGTTTCTTCGCAGCGCTATGCCCCTTCCCTTTGAGCCGCCCTCAATGCCAAGACTCCTTCCTGCCCTTTTTGTTTCTGTGCCCCTTTGATTGTCGTTCTTTCTGCATCTGGCCGGGTTCGGTTCGTTGTGTAACCCTTGTCTGCGATGGCTGTGGGAAATGAAGGAAGGAAGGAAGGAGTGAAAGGCTGAAGGGCAAAGGATTTTGGGTCTGGAAACAACGACGGGCACTTGTAAGGAAAACAAAGCAAGCGAAGAGGAAGGAGCTTGTTGAAAGAGCACAAGAAGTCAAAAGGGAAGGCGTCACTGTGCTGGTGGCTGCGGGAGTGATGTCTGCGGCGAGGCCGATACACGACATGTCACGGAAGTATTACTATTTCGTACGGAGCAGAACTAGTCGCCGAACACTTGCACATTAAGATATGTTTCCATCTCTGTCTTTTTCAACATTGAGCAATTCGCCGTGCGATAGGCGCAATGCGAAACATTTGTCGATATTTTAGTACGGCCGGGCCAGGGGCGGGCGACAGTTGCACTTGCTTTCCCAGCTCTAACCAAAAAGGCAGGCACCACTCTCCTTGCATTTTGCGGGGAAGGCGAAAGCTTGCTTAGCCAAGTGTTTTAGTGAGGCATGATGGAGTACGGAAAAGCTCGTCGTCGTCCAATTCGTCACGGTAATAATGACACTTTACAATACAGAATTGGCAGCACGACAAATGGGCGGTCTTGTGCACAGGCGCCATAAACCTCATTTTCCGGTATTTGAATATGTGCCTATTACGGAGCATGGCTCAATCCGCAATAATACCTCCTGCCAATTCTCCGAATTCTACGACGTACCCGTAGTCTATTTTCCGCACTTCCCCTTCTCATGGCATTGATATGTGCACTGCCCAGGCATTGAGACCGCGCTTTATATAGCCAGTGGAACACATATGCATAATTGAGCGGGCCGATCAGTTTATCAATGGCGTTGCCGGCCGAATATCTTGGTCGATAGACACCTGTTTCTGGCGAAGGTATGCTCAGGGTACCGGCTCTGGGTTGGTGTGCAAATGGAAGAAAATATGAATTTAAATATGATAAAAATTCACCAAGCTTGGGCCGGAGAACAAATCGTCTGTTCTATATTTGGATAGATTGATGCAGTTCCTCTGCCTTCTCCGTTGTCACCCATATGCAGAAACTCGCGCTTAAGCTTCCATGCGTAAAAATCAATGACAAATCCTACACGGCCGTATGAAAACCCAGAACGATAAATTCAAATGAAAAAAAGAGAAAACAATTGCTGACTGCCGCCATGCAAACTTGTCCCCTTCTGCGGCCTAGCCTAGCTCTCCTCTGATAAATTAGTATGTCGTTGTGGTTAGATAAAACAGATCTCTTCCGGCCTGGAAGGACAGCATATGCCAAAAATGAGTATTAAAATTTCCTTCACGACCACCGCTGGCTGTGCAATGCAAGGAACCAACTGTTCCCGACTCCATCGTTACTTCGACGCTTCGGTCACATAGGCAGACGTCGTACCCTCATCTGCTTTATTGTCCGTTCAACACGACACCGTCCAGAGGGCTGGCAGCACCGCCGGTCGGCTTCGTCTTCAGAGTTAGGGGGAACGGGTACTCGTCAGGGTCCTCTTCTTCACTATTGCCAGTTCGTCAGCGCCTGTTGTATCAAAAAGAGAGAAGGAGAAAATTAAAAGTTTTGGAAAGTGGTCGGGAGAAAAACTCACGGAAGTTTCCATGCAACGTAGTCTTCCGTACTCAGACCCTCACGACCCTCCTGCAGGCTGGCAAAGTCACCAGGCGTCATCATACCCGTGCGGTCGCGAGGGGAGCCCGGCACAGAGAATGGCCGCGAGATCTTCTGCTCCACACCCGGGATGTAGTCCTCGTCGTCGTCCTCGCCGGCAAAGGAGTCGGGGTAGGCACGGCGCAGAGCCAGCTGGCGGGCCTTGACGTACTCGAGTCCCATGCGCTTCCAGTCGAGCAGATCACTGAGCCGCTCGGTGCGGTTGCGCTGGTTGATGCGCTGGCGACGGCTTTTTTGGCAGAAGTCGAACATGACCGACGTCAGCTGGTTGACCGAGTCGTCGACGCCCTTGGTGCGGCGGTCGACAATGTAAATACCGTAGTCGCTCGAGTTCTCAATCAGCTCCTCCATGTAGCAGCCGAAGCCCGAAAGATTCGTCGTCACGCTGGGCACGCCCATCACCGTGCACTCGGCCGGGGTGTAGCCCCACGGCTCGTAGTACGACGAGAAGACGCCCAGGTGCGTGCCGCGGACGAAGTCGTCGTAGTCCATCGGAAGCACCGGGTTCGCCGAGCTCAGGAACTCGGGGTGGAACACAATCTTGACGCGATCGCTCGGGTGGTTGAACAGCTGCACGCGGCGAATCTGGTTCAGGATAGGGTCCTCCTGGTCGTTGACCATGTTGTGCGTCACAATGGGCGGCAGGCCATGGCGCTTCATGGCGAACAGGCGGCGCCGCAGCAGGACACGGTCCTGGCTTGTAATCAGCTCCTTCTCGTCGGGCAGCGGCTCACCCTCGTGCCACTTGAGCGAGCGCTCAAAGATACGCCGGCCGATGCTCTTCTCAATGACGTCAACCGTATCGCGAAGAGACTTGACAACGGCCTGTCCCCGCAGAGCCTCAACAGTCAGGGAGTGCGTCTGTGCCGGCATGATGATAAATGCCACGACCGTCATCTTGCTACCAGCCGTCTTCAAACGGTGGTTCAGCCGCGCAAGCGACTCGATAAACATGTCGACACCCTTGTTGCGGAACTCGTAGCGACCCGCCGTGAAGAAGTAGAGCGTGTTCTCGGGCTCAATATCGTAGTGGCCGTAGAAGTGGCCGCGCACAAAGTCGTGGATTTTCTCCTTGTTGTGCTGGTGCAGGTTCTGGAACTCGTGCATGGCCGAGAACTTTGTGACGTTGAGACCGTTGGGGAGGACACCGTCGGGTTTGCGCTTCAGCAAATGCTCGCTCTCATAAGCGGTAATGTGCGACACAGTAGTGAAAACGTCGGAAGAGTGTGTCGCTGCGCGCTCAATGCAGTAGCGGTGGTAGATACCGCGCTTGCCGGCTTCAGCGTCCACATCAAAGTATTGCAGGTTGTTGTAGAAATCGACAGAACCGGCGCAGAGGTAGCGACCGAGGAGTGTGGCGTGCGTGGTGAAAATCGTGGTGACGTCGATGCGGCGCTTCTTGCACAATGGCAGAGCAACACCAGCAAGCCACTCGTGGAAGTGTGCAATGACGGCCCTCTTCTTTTCGTGACAGACGAACTAGACAGTACAAACATTCTTTGTTAGCAATACCGCTCTCTAGATCAGGGTAGCCTAGGGGGCCTCCGACGCAGTGCCGGCATCGTACCTCTCCAAGGAACCAAGCAACAAGGTAGCCGAAAACAATGGCTTCGTTCGTCTCCTCGTCGCTGGGCGGCGACGGGATGGAAGCAACGTTCCACAAATCGGCCTTCCACTCGTCCATGAAGTTGTAGGCGGACTTGGTGTCAATCAGGAGAACGCGAGGCGCACCCTCAATCAACCAGCGGCCATAGACAATCTGGATTCCGCGCTCCTTCATAGAATCGATCGTGGCGGCAAGTTCAGGGTTTGTCGGCTCCAGCTCTTCGACCTCAACAGCGGCCTACCGTCGCAAGGTTAGTATGGTGCTCATAATATCGTTTAACGGAATTGACGGCTCGGACGTACGGATTCCCGGTGCAGAGGGCCGATAAGGGTATACCGGTCTCCATATTCGGCAGTGGTGACCGGGGCTTTGGACTTGATAACCGAGTAGATACCGCCGACTGTGCAAGGTAAGACATGGGATCAGCCATTGTGCAAAACAGCAGCGCAAGAAGGTTGCGTGGTGAGACCCATAGGGTAGGAGCCAAAAACACGATAAATGCAACGACGAGACATACCACGGTGAGCAACTTCGGTCGCGACCTCAAAGAGATAGTGGTTCTTAACCTCGCGTGGTTCGCGCACGCCGTCTTGAGCCATTGTGTAATGAGCTTGGGGAATTGGGAAGAGGTAGAATTGCGGTTGAAGAAACGGCGCAATTTTTGAGAACCGCTGGTCGAGGACTCAATGGCAAAGGAATAGAGAAGAGAGACGAGTGGAGGAGAGAAGAGCGAAAAAGAAGATTGGGAAGTCGAGGCAGGACGAGAAGAAACAGGGAAGAAGCACGGAGCAGATCAGCAGACCTTAGGTCTGGGCTCGCGGGGAGAACGTCGATTTGGGGTTGAAAGTGGAGAAAGTCAGAGCTAGGTGTCGTCAGAGGCCTTTTGCGCTCGCTGTTTTTCGCGCAACAAAACGAAATGACGAGCTGTCCGCTCTAGGTTGGAAGGTGAAGCTTCAAACGAGGAAGACGATGAAAGTCGTTGGACACAACAACTGATGCAAACCGATGCAAAGAGGAAGGGGAACAGATATAAATTAAGGGGGAGAGGACGAAAAGGAAAGCAAATAGCAAAGGCAGGAGAATGAACGAGAAAAGGACCGAACGAAGAGCTAATAAGGACGGGAGAGGGCAAGAAACCTGCCGGCCAAGCTTCGAGGAGCGCAACGTGAGGGTGGCGAGAACCTGGACTGCCAAAAACAAAAAAAAAAACACAGAAGAGAAAAACAGTCGTCGCTGTTGCAGTGCAGTAGCAGGGAACAACACAGTTGCTGTGCTTCTTTGAGCTTAGTATGGATGGTAAGGGGAAAGACTGGGGGATGGAAGCTATCCGCGCTTGGTTAGGCGAGTCGGCGATGAGCGACTGAGGAATGCTTCTACTGGGTTGGACGTGACAAAAATGAGGCATACAACATGCAGCAGCGGAATAACGAGAGAAAAAATTGGAGTTGTGAAATTGTGAAGCTAAGTTTGGGAGGAGTTGGCGATGGTGATGAGAAGTTCCTTTCTATCTCGTCTCTGCCTGTCCCCTACGCTCCTTCCGTTCAACAACCCCAGACTGTCTCAACCAGTTAAACATGGAAGGTGTGCTAAGCACGAAAACAACAACTGGGAAGGTACATTGGACCACGATGAATGCTCGAGGGAACCACCAGGAACTCGCCGCCACTTCTTAGACGAGATCGAAAGGGAAGCTATACATACGGATTCGCCACGGATGGCCTTATTACAGATATATGGAGTAAGCTGTTCCCATGGCCGGACTATGGATGGTCTTTGGCAGAGAGTTGGTGTGTGGCGACGCCAGCAAGTGGTCGAAGCGACGAATGGAAGGTGCAAATCAGTAGTGCATCTCTGGGCGGGGAGGAACCACTGGACTGCCCCAGGTTCACCTGGCGCAAACCAACCATACAATACGAATGTACGACATATTGGGAAAGAGAATCCAGTAGGGGGACGGAAGATACACATGTCACAGTAATTTCAATACCTGGGGCTTCCGGAGCTTGCTAGGCTCTAATTCTTTGTATCGTACGTTGTAAGCTTGTCACGATATGTTATCTCGCTTCTTTCTTCTCAAAATATCTGACTGCGTCTTATTAAGTGTCTATGATGCCCGCTTACAGGAAGGAAGTGTCGCCTTTGATGTCGTGCCGTGGCAGTGACTAGATGGGTTGCTCCTGCCATGAACCTGGCCTTTTGGAGTCTGTTCTCGCTGGCTCCTTCCGTTACGCTGAGATGGTGACGATAAACACTACAGCTTCAGCAAAAGGACGTGCAGAAACGAAAAAAAAAAAAAAAAAAAAAAAAAAAAAAAAAAAACTAAACGCTCTCAACAACTTTTCTGCTTTAGCCGTGTTTTCACGATCAGTCGGTTCTGTCCCGACTTTCCGCCCTCCATCGTCTTTCATCGTACGTCTCCGATTCTGGCTGAATGCTAGCCTGCAGATTTTTCAACGGCGAATCCGAAAACAACGTTGGGCGCAAAAATTTAGTTGGGATGGGCACCTGGATTAGCCAGGCCAGGCCCTGTCATTACGAGCTTTGGTCAGCTCGGCTTGGACGCCCAAGACGCGAAGTATTCAGCGTTGAGTGTTGGTGGACTGGACAAGCAGCCGGATGTTAATTACCTAACAAGAAGGCAAGAAAGCTGATCCTTTTCACCACGACTTGTTTTTTTGCGTCAACCACGGGTCCAGCGGAGAAAGCCAGAGGTAAGATATGGGTGACACAAGCGAGCAGAGTCAACTTCTAGTGCCTGTTCGATCTATGGAGTTATTACATGCGAATACAAATACAGGACTCGCGCGGCATCGGGGGAGTGCCACTAACCATGGATAGATCAATGCAAGGATTGTTGGATGAGGGCTGCCATCGTGCAAGCTCACTAGGATTACTCCAATCTCAAACTCCAGAAAACCGGGCCAGCATGTAGCTCCCGCTTGTGATTGCTTTTATTTACCGGTCGGTGTCTCAGAAACGCAGAAATTAAATACAGATGGGGGAGTATGGTACCCTATTAAATTAATACGAGCTATCGAGCGAGCAAAGAACGCGGCGATGGGAGAAAAAACCAGCCACAGGAGCACCCCAAGAAAGGTTATGACAGCATTTCCTCCTATTTCAAGAGGCGTGTCAAGGACGACGGCAGCAACTGGCCGGCCGGAAAGTGCAGAACCAGCTGAAGACGACTGGTATGCTGACGATGCCAGCACTACACGAGCAGAGCCGACGGAGCAACGCTGCCCATCATTGCTCTCAAGCAGATGGCGTAGCCCATTTTTCTACACGCGAGGATGACACATTCCTCCATCTGCACCCACCTTTGGCGGCGGTAGTACCCGGGGCGTCTAACAACATGCAGAGAATGCAATATTCACCGGCTTGTCGTCAACTATCTCCCTTTGCATATTTTTGTTGGCAGGAGCATGACAGGACCACATTTTCGAGCGGCTAGTTATATGACTTAGCCCTGACGAAGCTACCGTGTTAGCCTTACTGTCTCCCAAGCGAGCTGCTTTGGTTGCATACCAGATTGCATGTTGAACCGACTATCCGTTCGAGCCAGCGGTTGTTGTGCCAATAAGAGAGGAGGACGAGAAGCCAATCCGAGATTCAAATGCATGGCGGCACTTTCAATGCCGACAGGTGCGTATTCTTTGTCTGTCGATAGGCTCGAAACTTTGGTGGTGCTGCTTTGTCGTTACAACCGCACCCTTTTGTTCTTTTCTTTGTACCTGACACTCCTTTCTATCCATTGTCTGATGGCTAAATTTATTACAGGTACCAAAGCATGCACAAAGGTGCCTAACTAAACAGAAGACGCCACAACCAACACAAAGATGCTCTGGGCTTCTTTATTTTCTGATGTTTGTTGCCAGGACCGTTGAAGGCCAAAGAAGACAAAGGATAACAAGGAAATGGGGCTAACAACAATGATACGACATCTTCGTCTGCCTCTTCTCACTGTCTTGTGAACTGTATGTCCTTTGACGAGCGTCAAGATAGCGTTCTATTAAAACGCAGTGTAAGCCGTCCGTTCATCTCAATATTTGGATGGGTTGTAAGCAACAATCGCCTATTATCACCACAATTCGATCCTAGAAAGAAATTGCCCTCTCCACCTCAACAAGCTGAATCATATTCTCTACCGACAAGTCGGTCATTATATTTCCTATTTTACGCTTAGTAGTTTTGCTCAAGCAACATGGAAGGCAGCCACAATGCGGCGAGAGATCTTCGATCCTTCTATTCGCAGTCAATTGCCCCCCAAGACTACAGCCGCTCCAACACGGCCGTTCGCCTAGACAGCAGACCGAGAAAGAGCAGTTTTTTCTCTGGAGATGGCCCAGCTTATCGCGGCGATGGAAGAGACGCCCAGTTCGGTAAGCACCGGCAATCAGCACATGAGATGAAGCCATTCTCGTCGACCATGCCCTTCACCATTACTTATGGGCCTTCTGGGAAGGCTGCGTCTGCGACGATGAAGGCCAAATTCGCCGCGGCAAACCCCGGGGTGTCAGGCGAGGGCCTCTACATGGATTTTATCTACCGCAGCTGGGCCCAGTCCCCCGACAGACCTCTGAGCAAGGTCCACAGATCGCATGGACTGAAGACGATGCTGCAGTGCGGCGATGTGGACCAGATCTCGGCGGAGGTGTTCCACTTCCTCTGCGGCATTCACCAGTGCAAGTACGGCGACGGATTCATGCGCGACGACATGGTCCTGTGCGACTGCGACGGCGAGGTGCCGCGGTGCTTTGCAACGGTATACATGGAGCTGGCTCGCAAAGTAGAGTACCTGGAACAAAAGCTGAAGAAATACCGGGCGGCCCGAAGCTCTGATGTCCATGCACCAAATCCGAGTCACTTGGAGCGGACGAGCCGACTGAGAAACAGTTTGATCATGAATTCCGCCAACATGGACAACATCGGCTGAGGTCGATCGCAGGTACTATCCTGTGGTGGTAGGGTAGGTATAAATTTGTTTGATTTTATCTGCTCAGTTTCTATGGCGTCATATTAGCTGGCCTAAAACGTCTGTATAATATTTCAGTTTTTTTGTAATTACAATTTCCTTTTCCTCCCACGTTCTCACGTTGTGTACAAATTTCTATCCCATGTATTCTCTTTCCTTGACTCTCTCCCCTCTCATTCCTGTTAGTGGAATGAAATATGCTATACTTCTTTATTTCTCTCAAAATCAATATAAATCCACTCAGGAAGCCAGAAGAAGACCAACTGCCTTATGTCACTCGATATTGGATGGAATTCTCATGACGAGGCTCTTGCTGTTCAGCCCTTCAAACCCTGGTTGGAACAGTCAGTTCGTCATATACAGGGAGACTGGTTGGGGGTCAGGAAGAGGGACAAAGTACGTTCTCTCACACTTACGGTTCCTAAACCTACAGTGTCGACTATATTGAAAGAAACGATTGAGGGACGCGAAAAGATGCCAAGGGCGATTGACGTTGGAAAGGAATTAACGGCCTTGCTGTTGTTTACAGTCAAACTATCATCGCATTGCACTGATAGCTTTAGCGCACCTGCCTGCTTCTTCATTCATTAACAGGGCAGTTCAGCCCCTAAAATTCAATTACAGCAGTCCAATTACTCTTGGTAGTGGTCATGTGCAGACGACGAATTAGGCGTGCAGGGGAACAAAATCCCCCCCCCCCCCCAAAATCCAGGACAGGGCGACACGCCCCACTGCACCGCAATGGGGCTAGGCTCGTTGTCACCCAAAAACCCGCGCTTTACGATTGAAATTCGCTACCGCGATGGTGACTTTGCATTTCCATCGCCATCGAGATGTGGAAATGCCAGGAGACAGCCGCAACCCCGGCCACGCATTCCCAACACACGACACCGGCTCCAGAGAAGATGCTCAACGAGGCATGACGTCGAACGGACCAATACATTCGCCGCCTCGTGCTGTCGTTGCTCATCGGTCACGCGAGGAGGGCGACAGAGAGAGAGAGCCCAGACAGCCGCAGCAGCAGCAGCAGCAAAAGCAGCCAGACCAGCAGCAGCAGTCCAGAGGAGGTAGAGGCGGCGGCGGCGGCGGCGGCGGCGGCGACCGAGACAGGCGTGAGGGCCGGGACAGCAGAGACGATCGGGACGATCGAGACGGGCGCGGAGGCCGTGAAGACCGTGGCGAGAAGGACAGCAATCGCAAATCAAGAAAGTCGAGCGGCAGCATTGGAAACGACGGCCAGAACCGGAATCGGCGGTCGCGTGAGCGCAGCCGAAGCCGAAACAGACACGACGACGACGCGCGGCTGTCATCGCGACGAGACCGAGAACGCGACAGAGAACGCGACAGAGACCGGGGACGAGACCGGGAACGACATCGGGGCCGAGACGCGGACCGACGACAAGCATCGACGGCGGGATTAGACCCGGCATCGACAGCAGCCACAGACGAACCGCATCGAGGACGGCGCCGCGACTCACGCAGCGGCTACCAAAAGCCAAGCAGCAGCGGCGGCAACAGTCATCCAGGCACGGGGAAACGGCCTCGGAGCCCGAGCGTGTCGTTTGGCTTTGGCGACGCTTCTGGTGGCCGCGGTAACGGTGCTTCTGCAGGCGGCGGCAGTGGTACACAGGCAAAGCGCTCTCGACGAGACAGGAGTCCCTATTGGCAACCACCACACTCGCATAGCGGTGGGCGCCCTCGCTCGCGCTCCCCAAACTCGCATTACTCCCAACAACACCGTCAAGGTTCACGGCGTTATTCGTCCCGATCACCACCCCTAGCGTCATTGTCAACGTCACGGCGCGACCGCCGCTCGAGAAACAAGAACAAGGTACGGAGCGGAGCCGGTGCCGGCGCACCTACTGGCACTGGTGCTCACGGCAACGACCATCGGCCCCCCCGGCTGTCGAATCAACAGCTGCCCGCTGCCGATCGACGCGACCGCTCGCGCTCGCACTCGCGCTCGCCAGTTGTCCTAGACGATACGGCGTCTCGCAGAGATCAAACTCCCGAAGACCTCGACGCCGTCGACCTTGTGCCGACCGGCACACCTCCCCCGGAAGAACAGCAACAACGTCACCGCAGACCATCCTTCACTTCAACGCGGTCTGGCGGATCAATCAAAGTGCGAGAGCCGGTACGGGAACGAGAACGGGAACCGAGCAAGGACCGGGCTCGAGACCGTGAAGACGAACGCGACCAAAGCCGAGAACGGGGACCAGAGAGGGAACGAACCAGAGACAGAGACAGAGACAGGGGCCGGGAGCGTGATCGTGATCGAGACCGCAGCCGCTACCACGACCGCCACCGCGATCGCGATCGAGACCGCCACGCGCGCTCGCCCCACGCCAGCAAGAAACGCAGTAGGAGACGGGACCGTTCTCGCGAATCCTACGTGTCCAACGCGGCATCCAACAGCCCCAGGTCTCCCACTGACGACGATATGGCCGCGCGTGGTGGGAGCTTCCGGGGCGCCGCAGGCCACGGCCCATACTCCGTGAAGAACCCCCAACAGCAACACTACAGCAACCAATCGCCGCACCAGCAGCGCGACCAGCAATACCCCCATCCTCCCTCATACTCTCAGTCCGGACATGGCACTCCACACTCTTCGTTCCACGGCTCTGCGCCACCCCAATCGCCGTACGGCAGTAGTCAGGGATGGGCCCCAGCTCACGAACAATACTCGCCTCAAGGGTTCGTACAATCTGCCCTTTTTATCCCTGTCACTTTATTTCCATCGCACGTCTGCATTTTTTGATGTGTTGGTCTTGTTCTTGTTTTTTTATGTTTTCCTTTTTTTTTTTTTTTTTTTTTTTTTGGACCTACACTGTCTAACACGCTTCCCAGGCAATTCCCGCCACAATCACTACAACCGCACGACTACTCCCCTAACGGCACTTCCTTCCAACAGGCCAACTCCCCTCCGTACGGAGCCCCCTTAGGCCCTAGTGCACAGTATACGTCAACGTCACAGGGCCACAGTACCTATCAGGGTAACCACTACGGGCCTGGAAGGGGCGACCACCGTGGAGACAGCGACTACAACGGACAGTGGCCCACAGGGCAGAATGCCGACGGCGGCTATCAACACGCAGCGCCCGCAAATGTGTCTCCCCACCCAGGAGGGCACCAGCGCCACTCCAATCACCAGCACGGCAGCCACGGACAGGCAGCGCATTACGAGGGCGATGATGTCCCGATGCAAGATACGGAGGGCATACCGTACGATCAGGGGCAGCCTTTAGACGACGGCAGCATCGCGGGTCGACCTGACCGCGGTCGGAGGGAGTCCCGTCAGCCGATGGCCGACGCCCAGATGCCTCCGCCCAGTCGACAACCACCCACGGGTCCTCAGGGGTCCAAGTTCAGCTTCGCCTTCAAAGCCGCATCGAAGAATCACGTCGCTGCTCCCAAGGCGGAGATTGCCCAGAAGCTTAGTGCCGCTCCCAGACAACCGCTGCAACAATCGCCACAACAAGGCCAGCAGCAGCAACAGCAACCACAACAGCAGCAACAGCAGCGACATTCTCACCAGGATGGCGGTCGTGACGATGGAAACAAGAGGGATTTGCCACCCCGCAACGCACCGACTGAACCGGCGTCCTCGCGGGCTCGGTTCGAGCAGCAGCAACGGCAGCGTGGCGATCAGAACCGCCCTCAACAACAACAGCAGCAACAGCCGCAATCCCGTCCTGGCCCGCGCTATCGCAAGGTCAAGCAGATCATCCGCCACCCCAAACCACGACCGACACTGCCCGAGGACCTGGCTGCGTCCGACTCGGTCTACTACCGCAAGCCGGGCAACGAGTCAGTCGTTGGATCTGGTACGTACGGAAAAGTGTTCAAGGCGGTCCACGTCTACACGAAGAAACTCGTTGCCCTCAAACGCATTCGCATGGAAGGCGAGCGTGAGGGCCTTCCCGTGACGGCCATCCGTGAGATCAAGCTGCTGCAGAGCCTGAAGCACATCAACGTCGTCGAGCTGCAGGAGGTGATGGTGGAGAAGAACGACTGCTTCATGGTTTTCGAGTACCTCTCCCACGATCTCAACGGCCTGCTCAACCACCCGACGTTCAAGCTGGATGATGGCCAGAAGAAGCACATGGCCCTACAGTTGTTCCAAGGCCTCGACTACCTACACCGCCGCGGTGTTTTGCACCGTGATATCAAGGCCGCCAACATTCTCGTCAGCAGCGACGGTATCCTCAAGCTGGCCGATTTTGGCCTGGCCCGCTTCTTTGCCAAGCGCCATCAGCTCGACTATTCGAACCGCGTCATCACCATTTGGTACCGGCCGCCCGAGCTGCTCCTGGGCGAGACACAATACGGCCCGGCCGTCGACATCTGGAGCGCCGCTTGTGTCATGGTCGAGATCTTCACGCAAGCCCCCATCTTCCCGGGTGGCGGCGGCGAGATCAGCCAGCTGTCCAAGATCTACCACATACTGGGCACGCCAACAAAAAGCGAATGGCCCGGGCTGACCGAAATGCCTTGGTTCGAGCTCATGCGGCCCACCTATCGACTGGCGAACGTCTTTGCCGAAACGTACCAGCACCGCGTCACGCCTGCCGCATTTGACATCCTCTCGGCCATGTTCCGCTACAATCCAGCCAACCGACCGTCCGCTGCGGAGGTCCTCGACCATCCCTACTTCACCCAGGAACAGCCACCGGCGCGTCAAGCCATTGAGTATGTCATTTTTCGAACCATCTTGCATCTATCGTGTACTTTGTGCGTCTCGCTCCCTATACTAACGTGATATTACTAGATTGGCGGACATTGGCGGTGATTGGCACGAGTTCGAGTCCAAGGCTCTCCGGCGCCAGAACGAACGCAACGCAAAAGAGGCCCGTAAAGCAGCAGCTCAAGCTATCGCATCCGCATCTGCCTCTGCCGACCCGGCCGCTGCTCCAGCACCAGCAATTTCTGATGCAATCGTTTCCAGCGACAAACACGAGACGAAGAAGCGACCGCCTACTACGGCGTCGGAGGTCGACGGCAACGGCGGAGCCGGTAGTGCAGACCAGCGGGAGGCCAAGCGCCAGCATATTGAAGCACCAAAGCCCAATATTGGTGCCGAACAAGATACATTGCCAGTGGCTAAAGCTGAGGTTGCCTCGGCCATAGTTGCTGCAATCTCAGAAGCCACATCGTCCTCCATGCCCATCCCTGACGTGCCGACGCAGCCGAAACAGACTCCGGCGTTCCCACCGGAGGACGCGAACAAAGACCGAACCGGAGCCTATCCAGGGCGTTAGCCAGGAAATCATCAATGGCGGTCAACGCAGGAGGCACCACGGGACCAACGTCTGCATCTGCGACTATACCCCCCGCTCGCACCGAAGTCACAAAGCACACACCTCCGCAATACAGATACAGATAATGGTGATGTAGCTGCTTCCATATTTTTGGCCGGCTTGTTCTAAAGCAGAAAGGACAGCAGACAGTGGAGGCCAATGGGGCTGGTGCGGGGACCGTCAGCGTCTATCCTGATTTTTTTTTCTCTCTTTGTCATTAGACTTTTTTACATCTTTTTTATTGCACACCTGGATAGGAATACTCGTGGGGTTTCAGTTTTGCTTTTCGAATATTTACACGGGAACGGGAGAAAAATAAGTACGGTTGTTATGGGAGCAATTTGTAAACAATAAACAAGGAGCTGGAGTCTGCACGCACTGGGTCCATTGGCTGTTCTTTGTATTTGTAGGAGCATAGCTTTGCAGAAGAGAAGATGGGAAGAAGTCTGTACTCACGAAGAACGACGGCGGTGCAACCACGACGTTTTATGTTGTCAACAGTTTTGAGTTCATACCCATTTTAATTTGTGCGGTTCCATTATTTGTTTTGCCACAAGATGCTTATAAGTCCCAAACATTGGGAGCACGCCAGGCCTGAACTGATTGACTATTGAAACATAAAGAGCCAACTTAACAAACGGCCATTTGACCAGACACTCCTTTTGTGTATATTGTCCCCTTTGTCTTGCATCCGTCTTATTTTGTGTATCGTCCTTAAGTGGCAAAAAAGGAAGCGAAAATCGAAAATCGAAATAAAAAACTGCCAATGAGAGTTCATAATCATAAAAGAATCAGACAATGAAAACTGCAGCAGATGAAAGTGGAAACATGGGTGGCTTATAAAACAGGGAAAGGGGGTATATTTAATACAACTTTGAAATCAAAACAGGACAAGGAGAACAATGTGCAGCAGATAATGTCAAGCATGGATGCCAAATGCCAGTACTTTTCAACCACTCAACGGCTGGTATTGTCATCAACAGCCTTCCCCTTCTTCAGTTTTCCATTTCTGTCTTCCACGCCCTTCAGTAGTTCGCGGAGACTCCCTTCAGCGTGACTTGGGCCTGCGACAGATGCTCGTCCGGCAGCGACCGGCGCTGGTACTTCATGGTAGTGAGATGGACTGCGTCCATTACCCAGAGGTTGTTCAGCGATTGGGCCTCCAGTTCCGTTGGCCATCCAGGGAATCCAGTGGGTGAGGCCCGAGAAAAACCCGGCTTCAGTAGCATCCTCTGGGTCGAGAAACAGGGACGGATCCTGGTTCGCCTCATCGTCCGGGTCAACAATGTGAATTCTGTGCTCTAGGGTGTTGCTGCGTCGAGAATGATGAGGAGTGGGATGGGGCGAGGCTTGTCCATTCACCGTGTCCGAGAGCACATTGTACATATCAATGGCCCCATCGGAGGTTTGAGGAAGAGCTGGTTCGCTTAGAAGGGCTGGCACATTAGAGACGTCTACCACCGGGTGCGTAGTTACTGCTGAACTCCTCTCGCGTCCAGCTGAATGCCGATGTCTTTGGTTCTTGCGACTGCTGCCAATAACTGCGTGCGCAAACGATGTGGACTTTGGTCGTCGAGGGAGTTTCACTTGCTGTCGGTCCGGTGAAGATCGAGAAGTAGCCAATGGTCCACTACTGCCAAGCAAGGCTTTGTCACCATCCACAAGGTTCGTCCTGGAGCTTTCCTTTGGAGACCTGGATCCTTTTCTGTCCCCGTCCTCCCCGCGTGGTGATTTGCTGGAATTGGACGATGTTTTGTCGCGCCCGCTGCTCTCCCCAGTTGTGGTAGCAGTGCTGTCTCCGGTGCTGTCGGCGGTGCCTAGTCCCTTCCGAGCTGCGCGGCCACGAACTGCTTCGGTAATGTCAGCCGCGGACTTCTTTTTGGACTTGTCTTCCTCCGATGACCGGCTTGACGACATGATGGTTTCCAAGGTGCCATAGGCTGCGCTGCGTCGTCTACCTCCCCCGATCCCGCCGCGCCTTCGTCGATGGCCTCGTGCGCTAGTCTCGTCGTCGTCGGATGGTACTGCTTGGAGAGTTGGTCCACCAGGACTGGACGCCCCTTTCCTGCGGCCCGTGGAATGGTTGGGATGCTGTGATACAGATGCCATAAAGGTCGCGCCAGACCCGTGGGGAGTCACATGCGAGTCGTATTTGTCGCTTAGGCAGTATCTTGACCGGGCGCAGATCTCTGCAATGCGGTCGAGGTCAGATCGAATGTCGGTCGTGGTCTGCAGGTCAGCCATGAAGCCTTTGTAAGAGAATGCCTCAATCGGCGGCAGCTTTGCCTCGTCCTTTTGTGACGGGCCATCTGTGCCTGCAACGAAAGGCCACGGTATAAACCCGCCCTTCTTTCCTTTCGATCGTGCCATGCCGAACAGGCTATTCGCTAATCCCCAGCCCACACTCTGAGCATTATTGCTGCTGTTGGCAGTAGAGTCCCAAGCCCACGACGAAGCCTGGCCGTTCTGACCGTATAGAATGCGGCGGGAGCCGGATGCACGACTGCCAGCTCGGCGGCTGCTGCTGGGCGGCCGGTAGTGGGCGGAAGTCGAAGGGGACTGTGGAGGACCGGAGTAGGTTCGGACAATGACTGGCTGCGAATATGTGGTGCTTTGTGCCCCCGTAGACTTGGCCTGTTGGTGGCGGAGCACCGGCGAAGGGAAGCTGCTGTTGAGCTCGCGGAGAGCAGAAGTACGATGTGCCGCAGTGCTGTCGTCGAGCGGTATTGACTTGCCCCTCGCACCAACCAGTGAGGTCTCGGGTGTTGTATTGCTTCCTGTCTTGAAGAAGGGAATAGACGCGGAAGAAGGCGGTTTCGGGGCCACCTGGATACCGTTGGTATGAGCGGCGGTATTTGTGACTGTGGCGGTGCCGTTGTAGCGATGGCCGTTTACTAACCGAGGCGAATAAGCGGCAGAAGGCGTAGACCGCGACGATGATGGGGGAGGAAGTGAGGAAGAAGGAATTTGTGCAGCCAACGCCGAGAGTGAGGTAGTTGGCCGGGGCTGAAATGAATCCAGGGCAGTGGTGGGGGAGGAAAGAGTAACAGTGGCAGAAAAAGGAGCCGAGGGAGAGGCATGGGAGTGACGATATGTGTGAGAGCGCAGATGGGCAGACTTGGCGACAACAAGGCCGGAGCTGAGACCGGCGTCCGAAGCTGGTCGTCGTCTGCTGGACCGCTCGCGGATGTCCCTTGCGCCATCTCGTGTTTTGTCCTCAGACAAAAGGCCATGTGGTTTGCTATTTATGTACATGGCATCCATCATGCATGGAAAGCAGGTAATATTGGGGAGGGATGCGGGTAAGTGGTGCCAATGCAAGGCCAGCTCGGAGTCGCAGATGGGGTGTATGCTGTCTCTACTTCAATGGAGGAGGAGGCGGTTTTGCCAACGCAACGGGACCCGCCCGGAGAGACAGAGGGGCGAAGCGAGTGATTGCAGAGCGCGAGACAACACGACAGAGAAAGAGAGGACAAGGAAGGATGACGCGGAGGTGCACAGCACGAAAAGAGATTTTAAAATAAGAGAAATCGAGAAGCAAAGATATCAAGGAGCGTGGCAATGCGAAAACGAGAGAGTGTGTGAACAAGAGTCGATAGGCAAGAGTTGCACCAGTCAACCCGCGCAAGATGACATGGTCGGCTCCAGCCTTTGAATTGAATTCCGACGAGGTCGAGCCCGTCGCGCCGGCCGCCTCGAAGATGCCGCGTTAATATCTGGCAGGGTGAATGCAAAGAAGAGAGGCAGGGCGCAAGAGACTGTCGGCGGGCAGCAGCAGCATGCAGCTCTCTCGGCCGCCGGTCGGCTCTGTAATTATCTCGTGGCCCTTTGTGAGCGGTGGGAAATTGTCGCTCACGGGCGGTGCAGGCCGCCGGTCTCGTGGTGTTGCGGGCGACAGAAACCAAGTCGAGATAGATGTCATACAATAATAAGAAGGCCGGACTGGAGACCAGAAAGGCGGAGCAAGGCGAGGGAGGGTGACCAGGAGCGACAACGTGGACGCCGTTAATTGCCTGCTGCTGCAGGTTTTCTCCTCACTTTGTCGTTTCGCCGTCCCGTGTCTGGCTCTGGGAGTTCTAGGTTGAGCTGTGCTGTGTCGCCGTCTTTTGTAGGCATTTCATTCCCGGACCACTTCGGCTCGACGTGTGCGTCGCTTTTGTACCAGCTTGTGCGTGTTGTCCGTGGCTGCGAGGGTGCCTGTATCCTCGGATTTTGTTACAAAAACTAAAACTAAAAAAGCCGATGCTGGATGCAGATGACGCTGTCGTTCTTTTCCGTTTCGCAACCGCCAATTCCTTCGAGATGTGCGTGGCTGGGCGCTTTGGCCACTGGCAGACAGGCTGGGGTGTGATCAGAGGAGCATTACCTCCTCAGAAGGGCAATGGTCTGTGGCACATGGGCGGCGGAAATCCGAGGGAATGGGTGCTGATATCCTGGGAGTGCCGGAGGAGGGTTTTAGATGTGTGCTGTTGAAGAGGACAATAGGAGAGGCTGCGAAATATACGAGTTGAAAAATGTTGAGGAGAAAAGAGGCAATACCGAGGAGCATGCTTCAAAGATCAGATAGGGCGGCCAAAAAGAGCTTTTCTGGCCTGTTAGGAACAACACACGCAGTTTTCAATTCGGAAAGCACGATGGGGAAGTATCCCCGGTTGTCGTTTATAAATTTTAACTCGCTCCCTCCCGTTTCAGCTCTCTTCCTTCCTTTTTTCGTATTTGCAATTGGGTCTTTCCTTTTTTATAATTTTCTTGATTTTTTAAATACTTCTTTTCACTTCGTCCTATTTGTGCAGGCCATGTCTTCACTATCGCGCGCCGCCTGCACAGACACGGACCGACATGGGGCAAAAAAGGCTGTGGAGTCGTGGGAACAACACAAAATCATGAACGAAGTCAGCGTGTGAGAGGACGCAGGAGCCACTGAAATAATGGTACCGGCGCTTCCATTGGCTGGTGGACAATGTGCATACGGAGCTGTCTGCAGACAGTCGTGGCTGCCGTTGAAAGGGCAGTTGCGAACAAGAAGGAGGGAAAGGGGGGGCAGGCGCGACCGACCGGCAGAGAAAGGGGGTGTGCAGGGCATGAGGGACCATCCCATGCACCACGAACCGGGCCAAGTCAAGAGATGCCCACCTCCACCACCACCCTCCAACTCTCCGCTGCATGGCTCAGAAATACTGAGTTGTCTCCCCAAAGAGCTGCCACACTCCAGCATTTTCTGGCACGTCGTCGTTTCTGCTTTCTGACGGGCGTTGGTCGTGGGCATGACAGGACAATGTCGTGCGTGTTTAGTTTGGCTAAGATGATGCGCAGGACGAACGCGCTTTCTTATTTGCCTATTCTCTTCCCTTTCCGGGGCCGTCATTCGCTCATTCTGCCTCCCATTGCCAGCGTATGAGGTTCTTGGGGTTTGTCCACACAATGTCGGATTTATTATGAGCCAAAGAAAGACCTGTGGATTGCGGCGTGGGTTAGCTGATGGCCAAACCCAGCATGCAGCCGTGGACTTTCGTCATTGTGGACATGGCGAGCCGATGCCTGCTTTTATTCAGTGAGATGTATGAGACGACGATTTGAATTTTTCCTTTTATTTTTCCATTTGGCTTTGTCGCATTCAGTATTGCAACTACGGTGTATTTGGTCTGCTCATCCATTTGGATGCATCGACAGCAAATTCATGGCGGGCGGCCTAGCCCCTGGTCTGGCCCGCTTACATTGACGTGTTCTCGCATATCGAGCGAGTCTTTAGTTGCAGCAGGCCGCATACTACTACGGTGTACGTCGCAGCCTGCAGCGCGTGCGGAGTCGACTACTTATAAGTTTACACCGCTTGTGAGATGCTCGAATACACTCTCTTACATCACGATGGTATTCTGCATCGCAACGATGGGATGTTAGACCTTGACGGTTATATCGTACTTGGACAAGAAAGTCACAGGTGCGGCCACCATATCTCTCGTCTTCGGCAACATATTTGTGTGATTGGATATTTGAAATAGTCTGTAGCAAAAATGGAAGCTTGACAAGGAGAGTAAAGATTTTTGTGAGAACCGTAACGTATTCTCAAAATCTTTCGGAATGGAGTAAAAACGTGACGTGAATGGAGATAAAGCATAAAACAAAAGATTAAGTGAACATCCAAGGGCGGCTTCAACAAGGTATCCGCCTCCTTAACGTTCAATTCGACCGTATACCAGCGCCTCCAACTCCTCACATCACCAACGGTCGTATAGAATGGCGCCTAGAGGGTTGGGAACTCGTTCGCGTTGCTAGGGACTCGACTGGGAGCCGTCGCGTGGACCAGGGTATTGCCTCCCCGGCATCTCTGGTCTCGTGCACTTAGGTGTTTTGGGCAATCGTACCGTAGCCACCGCCACCCGATTGCACGCGATCGCTGTAGATACCTGGAGCCCGGTCGGCAGTGAAACGGCCCTCGCGAGACTGTTCGCGCCGGTCATAGTAGACATACTCGACGTAGAATGCGTGGATATGGCCGGGGAAGACACTATATAAGAGCGTCGCGTTAGCATAGGTTTGAGGAGCGAGGGGGGAGGGAGGGTACGTAGCCGAGAAGAAACATACCCAAGAATGGTCAGGCAAATGTTGACGAGAAGGTCCGCTCCGCAGCCAGCAACGGCATAAACGCCAATGGGCGGGACTATTATGGGAGAATGATATTAGAATACTGACTCCATTTGATGCAGCGGATGAAATAATTTGGTGGCAGTGCCAGAGGAGCAAAAGCGCAGACGTACAGATGATCGTGATGATGATCACGAGAATGGCCGAAGCGGTGACCATGATTACGGTTGGAGGGGGGTTCGAGTGCTTGGTTAAAGTTCAAATGTTCGTTTCGGGGTGCTATTAGAGCAGGGCTCGGTCGTTGGTAAAAAGAATCGCAGGGACGCGAAAAACAGGCCGATTTTGTAGGTAGTGTCGTTGAAAAACACTTGAAATGAGGAGAGGCAACAAATTGCAGTATGGAATGAGGAGGGACAATGATGGCAAGCACTACGTCAGCGACGCTACACCGCGGCAGGTCTGGTGGCGGCCCCGCCTGGTCTGGCCTGGCCACAGCAGGTCGTGCCATCCAATGGCAAGGATGAACGGCGACCAATGCTCCGGCCATGCGGCCATAAACAGCAACAACGACCTATCGATGGAATCGCACCTGCCATTTTTTTATGATCTGCGTCGCTACGAAGCGGTGGCTAAGGAATGGCGCGTGGAGAAACTATCCATGTGCGCAAGGACCTATTATTGCACCGGCTGAATGGCGAACACGCTATCAGCTATATTGTATTTACCTCGCAACAGAACAAACGTGTCGATGCCTCCGTGTATTTTGCTGGTTGTTCTTATCGGCACAAATGTTGCTGCCTAGTTGCTTCGCAACTCTGTTTCTGTACCTGTCTCGTGCTGTCGTTGGTTTTCTTTGTAACTGCTTGAGCTTGCTCCTTCCCGCATAGCAGCTTCGAACGGATGACGTAGTCAGATACCGCGCCGTCCAGTATGGTGCTGGCAATGCACGTGCCTTCAAAACTTGCACCATATCGAAGAGTAGCCCAGGCGCGAAGCTGTGACTACTGGAGTCTATTCTCACCTCGTCAGGACGGCTGTTTCCATGACGGGCCGCATGGTCTTTGTTTGTCCGAAGTGAGAGGAATGGTGCTAATTCGGGGCGTTGCCGACTGTCTATAGCTGCAGATACGGGGAGAGAGAGAGAGAGAGAGATATATATATATATATATATATATATATATATATATATATAAGTTGTACCTTCTTTTCTCACCGCGAATTGTTGCCTGCCATTATTTGGTTGAGGCGTATAACATCTGCGACTGGCCGACAGCACCGTCGGCTTCGTGTGCTAGATATTGTCTTATCCTATCCTCACTCACACTGCCTCCAACAGAAGGGAAGAGTCTGAAGCAGCACCATTCTGAGTCGTATTAAAGCAGCCGTCGCACAGCATCCATAGGCATGGGCACACAGCGTCAACACAGCATTCCCACGGCGTGTAAACGAAGTAGTCCTTTGTGTACCGCAGTGTCCCTCCACTCGGGTTCTCTCCATGTCGACAACCCTCCCCTTGACTGCCTCGACTTGACCCGGACTCTGGGGTAGCCGCGAGTCGTGATGGAGAGTTGGTGGATTGCCTGAGCTTGATAATCGTAGGCGCTGATATGAAATCATTCATACCTCTTTTAGGTGTCTTGCACCGGGCAATTGTTTCTTGCTGCATGAATTCTCGTTGCACGGAATTTCTGGGATTGTTGATATGGTTGTGTTACGTCGCCTTAACAAAAGCTATTATTGCAGCATCGATTTCCCGCAAGTAAGCGAACAATCTGGCGACAGGGCAATGAGACTGACAAGGCAGTCGAAGTCAATCGACCATGAAATTAGATGTGCTGGTGCATTTTGTGCCTTTGCATGTCTGTCATCGGCGACTGGGACGTTTCATATTTGAGTGGTCAAAGTAAGATCATACAGATATACGTAGGGCAGGAAATAGGGGCTGGCCAAGGAAATATTGCAGGTCTCAATGTGACCTTTTGGAAGACATTCGAATTGAAATGGCTTGGTGAAGGGAAGAGGTTGTAGCAGGTGAGGCGAGGTGACCAACGCGCAAACACTACCACGCCACTCATTTGGATTATTTGGGGAGCTGCTTGGTCGTGAGAATGGATTGAAGAATGAGGAAGAGCGAGCCGTTTTACCGCGGCCTCTCCCGTGTTCTCGACTGTTGAATTGTAGACGGTCATCTGGGCAAGTGGCTGCAACTGGTGGGTTTGAAAGGGGAAAGACTCGACATTGCATGCTGGAATGGGAAAGACTAGCCTACGCTGACCAGTTATGCGTAGGTGGACAGGTGTGATGGAGAGATGTGCAATGTGACGGGAAGGAGAAAGGAAATAACCAAAGATACGCAAGCTGCAACGAGGGTCAGCCCGGAGTCGGATAGTGAAAGCGACAACTGATAGCAACAGGTGTCCAAGTGACAGGCGATAATTTGGTGTTGATGGACTAAGAGGATGAAGAAAATCGAAGGAAGACATGAGGAGGGCAATGGGGCGAAACAAGCATAGTAGAAACAGAGTAGGAAAGATGGAGGCTGCCGTGTTGTGCTGCACTAGCTGCAACAGACTCAAAAGAGGACGGCCAAGAGGCAAGTTGACCAGTCACGTTGGCGATGTCTCATGCCAACTCGATGTTGGTTACCAGCCGTGCCTTCCCTCAAACCTGGCGCATACGGCGGCATGTGGTATTGGCCCCTTCCTGGTGGGAAGCAGGATGATTATTAGCGCTGGAAAGAGAGAATGTCCGCAAGAAGCTCGATTTTCGACGCTTAGAACGCATATGACAAAACCCAGTCGATGCTTATGGCTTCGGGCAACCAGCAGCCGTGTTGGTTCCTTGTCATACCGATTCTGTTATCTGAGCTTTGCACCGATGGTTACGATGACAGCTCCATGCAAAGCGTTGGACCCATCGTAAGACATAACACACACTAGAATCAGGGCAAGAACAGCCACGGCAGGCACCCGTCGCGCCTTCCTAGCCAGGTGCCAGGGACCCTTACCCCACTTCCGACGCCTGTTTCCAGGCAAGCTCCCAGGTGTCTGTCAGGGGATTTTCGGTTTAAGTACCTGTGCACCAAGGCACGACCGAGAGATACAAGAGCTGGCTCCCACCCCACAGTGTGAACTGTTAAAGAGGCGAGAGACCGCAAATGGTAGAACCGCCAACAGACAGCATCGTCTATTCTAATGTCTCTGCACTACACGGGGGGGTCTATCTTGATGAGTAAAGCAACACCACTTGATAACAAACATAAAAACATCAACGTGGACATCAATTGTTAACGCAAGGCTGTGATGCCTATCAAGCGCTCTCCAAAGCTGTCTTGTAGTCGTGTAATGAGCGCGTTTGAACCCACCTAGGAAGACCCAGTAAAAAGTAAAAAATAGCCGTATTGTATAATTTATTTTGGGGCCATTGAGCAAAACAGATGCAATTTCCCTATTTTTTTTTTCGACGTATATTTTTTAACTAGTTTTTATCACCTCTCCACGCACCACAAAACGGGCCTTCCGTACCCACGTCCAAGTTCCTTGCACTGTCCAGCCCACCGTCCACCGGCCCACTCAACTGGCCTCAGCGTCCGTTTGTTCCTTCCCTCCTCAACCTCGCTGTCTCCTTTCCTTCTCTTCCGTCTTGCCTTTCCTCTGCTTCGCTCCTGCCTCCTCTACTCGACTTCCCGCCTCGACCTTCCCGTGCCGAAGCAACCAGATCTCTCTTCCCCGACCTTTCCGCTTCCTCATTCCGTTTGTTTATCTCTCCTCTTCTCCTAACTCGACGGGAAGCAGAGCGTCGTCCACTCGAGAAATCTCGGCTCAGACGACGGAAAACGACCTCTTGTCGATCGTGAATCTTCTGCAGCACCTCGCCGTCCCTTTGCTACTACATTGTACTTTGTCCCTCGACGGGCTTCGACCTCGACCCTCGGCTGGCTTATTACCTTTGTTTTTTTAACCTACAGCATCGTTTCCAGTTCTATTTTTACGTGGTTGACTTGGCTCTCGCGCCTTTTCGACCTTTGACCCCTGAATAGGCTCGCTCCGGGTACGTTTTGTGATCCGGTTTGTGCTTGTGCTTCCGCTTCGGCTCTCGGTTGCAGCTTCGACCTTACCATGCCCATCAACGCCCCCAACAACTGCCTCGTCTATTTTTGGGGCCTCGGATTGTTGTCCTGTGGTCCTCACCCGCTGCATACTGCCGTGGCCGTTGTCTTTGGATGCCCGTTATCTCTTCATCGCCTCTTATCAGCTTTGTTAACATTTGTCTTTGGTTTCTAGCTTGCCGATTTCGCAGTTCCTCCGGACCTCGACCCTCCCTCCCTTTTTTGTCTTAACCGACTTTCCCCTCTAAACCCGTCTTCTTCGAGATACAATGGCAAACAACCAACAAGCGTCGCCGTCGTTTGACCGCTACGTCGTCATCCATGTTGCCACGACTTGCGACGAACATGGTGTCTATGTCACCAAGGACTCTGCCGAAGTTATTGAGATTGGTTGGATCCTGCTCGACGCAAAGAGTTTGGATGAGGTACGATGATCCACTCTCGACCTGTTCTGACTTCAGCCCTGCCCAATTGCTGTCTAAAAATCAAGCTCTTTCAGCTAACTTGCCTTCCTCCGTCTCTAGCTTTACCGCGAAAGCGTTCTCGTCAAGCCGATAAACACGCCCATTACTCCCCTGTGCAGTGAGTCCGGATTCTCCCAGTATGCACCGATTGCCGACAATCCGGCAGCTGGCTCTATGTCGGTGGCGAACAGTAGGGATGGTAAGGATAAGACGGCAATTCTGGGACACATTGGGACGTATGGAAAGCATGAGATAAGCTGCTTCTTCCCCACTGACCCCATGCCGTGGACTTGTACCTGCTTGTCCCTGCTGAGCTTCCACCGCCAACGTGCCCGTCTGCCTCTCTGGCGAGAGGCAGACGCCTTGTCTTTCCAACTCTCTTGGTAAATACCGTTGGCTAATCTTTTCTTCTAGCGAGCCTTACCACACTCACCTGGGAGCATGTTCGCAACGCCGGGAGCTTCCGTGACGCTGTTAACCGCTTCGACACATTTGCCTCTGAACACTTGACCTCGCAGAACCTCGACTTTGTTTTCGTCACGCTCGATGCCTGGGACCTCCGTGTCCAGCTGCCCCGTGAAGCTCGCGACAAGGCTGTCGTTCTGCCTCCCTACCTGCAGCACTCTCGCACCTTTGACCTTCGCCAGGAATACCAGAGATGGCAGCAGCACCACCCGGAGTCGCTGCCTTTCGGCCCTTCATCGCTAGCTAACATCTGCGCTGCCCTCGAAGTCGAAGCTGTCCAGTCCAGTGCCCCCATTAAGCACAACCTCCCCTTCCACCTGCAGGCATTGGCCCCGGCCTCGCCCCGTCGAGCCATGGAGGAGGCTGTCACTCTAGCTCGTGTCCTACGCGGCCTGATCCGCAAGTCCCAGCCGGCCCACGAGCACGCTGATGTCCTGGCTCGTCCCATGGACGCGCGTGCGGATGTCAGAGCCTTCCTATCGGAAAGGAGTAAGGTTTTGCACATGTCTGGTCTTCCCCATGACACCACGCAGTCTGAGCTGGAGAGCTGGTTTACCCAGTTTGGTGGTCGCCCCATCGCTTTTTGGACGCTCCGCACCCCTGAGCAGCACAAGCCCACCGGCACCGGCTTTGCTGTTTTTTCGTCTCACGAAGAGGCTGCCGAGAGCCTCTGCATGAATGGCCGTGCCCTCAACGAGAAGGCCATTGAGGTGTCGCCGTCGTCCAGCCGCGTTCTTGACCGTGCTGCCGAGATCCTTACCCCGTTCCCCCCGAGCAAGAACCGCCCGCGTCCTGGGGACTGGACCTGCCCGTCTTGCGGCTTCTCCAACTTCCAGCGCCGCACAGCTTGCTTCCGTTGCTCCTTCCCTGCCGTCAGCGCCGGCCCGACTGGCGACATGGGCGGTGGCGGCTACTTCTACGGCCCCCAGTCGATGATGCCGCCCCAGCAGCAGCACGGTAACCACCATGGTCATGGCCACGGCCACGGCCATGGTCACGGTCACGGCCACATGGGTGGTGGTGGTCACGGAGGTGGTCGTATGGGTGGTAGTGGTGTTGTTCCCTTCCGTGCAGGCGACTGGAAGTGTGGCAACGAGGCATGCGGTTACCACAACTTTGCGAAGAACGTCTGCTGCCTGCGCTGTGGAGCTAGCCGTGCGACCGCAGCCGTTGTTGCGGACTCGGGCTACCCGTCGCCCATGGACAGCGGCTCGTCCTACAACATGAACCAGAATTCCATGGGTGGTAACCCCGGCCCCGGACCTTTTGCGGCGGGTGGTGGGCCCTTCGCGTCTGGTGGCGGTGCTGGTGGCGGCGGCTATGGACAACAGTTTGGTGGCCCCCCAAGTACCTACGCGCTTCCGTCGGGTCTCGGTGGTAGCAATGCTGCACCGTATCCGCCTCTGAACACACACTTCGGCCCCGTCTCGAGCTCTCACTCCGCCGGTCCCTTTGATAGCCGTGCTGCTGAGGCTGCGTTCCAGTCTGCGACTAACGGCCCCGCATCTGCTGGCCCATCCAACAACTTCTACTCGCAGAACGACCCTTTCGCCTTCCTGTCGTCTGGTATGGGCGGACTGTCAGTTAACAACTCGGTCGAGAACCGCCAGAATGGTTCCGGAGCGCCCCCTAACAAGTCGCCTGCTTGAGCGATCATTCTCAAAAGGGACGTTATCAGCACACTTGTGTTGCGCAACTGATTTTCTTCACTTCTTCTCCCTTGTTCTCTTTTTTGCCTTTATATTTTTTGTTTACCAGGACATAAAAAGGACGTTTGGATGTTGGGACCGGGCCTGGTAAGAAGTGTTCATCTTTTATTTATTTTTTATTTTTGTGCGACACACCCGGTGGCCTCGGGCTTTGTTATTCTTCGCAAGGGTTTGTGTTGCATTAGCTTTGGCAATCTCTGGCATGCTTGGGGAGCAAAAAAGGAACTGGCAGGATGGCAAAATTGAGCGGGCGATCGATCTTTATTTACAACAAGGGCCATATAAAAGGGGAAAGGTTGAGCGAACTGCGATTGGACCGGTGTCGGTGATTCTTCTTTTCTTTTATGGACTGTTTTATTCCATGTTGGATTTCGGTATTGTTGCATCGTCTCGTCCGTTGTATGCGGCCATTTTATTTTGATGTGTTTCTTCTTCTTTACCACATGCTGGTCCCAGGGCCTAGATCGTCTTTGTGCTTCTTTTAGTTGTGCAGCTTTACCTCTTTCCGTCCTTTCATTCTTCCCTTTGATCATTGCTTTTCCACTACACCATTCCCGTCTGTCTTTACAAGTTGTTTATACTTTCATTTGCTACCACGTTTTAACTGTTTTTGCCTAGTTTTGCTTGTGCCTTTTGCTTTTATTTGACTTTGTGCGCTCGCAACAATTGGGAAATGATCGGAGTGACAGCGGGCGAACAACAGGGGAACGCATTTCTCGGGAAGAACAAGAGGAGGGGTTTTGGACCAAAACAGAAGACAGTGAGGAGAACAAAACTGCACTGCATCGGACCAAGGACTTTGTTTTACATCCAGCGAACGGTTTAGGAAGCAGGCGCTGGAGGCTGCGGTTGACTAAGATAAGTCGACAACATGGAGATGGACATGGATCTGGGATGGGTACACAAAAAAAGGGAAAGGCCTGCGGAATGGCGCGTCATGTGCGGTTGTTTGGCTTTATTATTTTTCATTTCCCCTTTCGTTTCGTCTTCTTTCATTTACTCTTCTGGCTTGGGGCTTCGGTGTGAGCGTGGCGTGGAGTCCTTTTGTCATTTTTAATTCTTGCATCGAGGAAACCGACTCTCTTTATACGGTCTCTGCCTTTCTGATTTTCACTGGTGATACGTAATGACGTGGGAGATGTCAAAGGCGTAATTTTATACGGTAAGGCACATCGTGCACTATATGCCACGTCTTGTATGGCACCGGGTTCAGAAAGGAACTGATACGTGGGACCAGATACATGGACGACAAAACTTGGGTGGCGGCTTGATTATGAGAATTTCTTTAGATTATCATGAAATAAACTGAAAGGTGTACATTCCTAGTACACTATATAAGCAATGGAAGACCCTATGCCCGAGGCTCCGCATGGTGACGATACAGTATCTTCGACGTTGACTCAAGGTCAGTACATGAAAGGTCTTGGAGTATAAAAGTAAGTAAAACAAGAGATAATACAGAGAATCGAAGCCGGTCGCGTTGGGTCCCTCTCCCAATCGATAACTGTGAGAGACAAAGAAAATGCATGGAAAGCTAAAAAAAATAAAAAGAGAGAATAGAAAAAATTAGAAAAGAAACCTTGGCCGTGAGATGATAGAAATCTCTAGATTGTAATAAACACACGTAACTGGGTAACAAAAACAAGAACATAAGTCCCTGACAGAAAGTTGAGACATCGAAGAAGGGGCAGCGATGAAGGCCCCAAAAGGAGAGCCAAGAAAACGAGACTCAAAGATTAAAGAGGAAGAAATCCACACGTCTCGTGTGGTTTATCGTCAAACACAACTCAGTCTCGCAAATGGCCCCAACGGCCACCGCCTTGGTTGGAGTTGAGGTATGTCATGCCAGGCAGCGGAGGACCGCCACCTGTGCCGCCGTTGCCGCCGTTTCCCCCGTTGCCACCCGACAACATGCCGCTATAAACGGACGGGTCGAAGTTGGCCGACACTGGGCTGTTGCCGCGACTGACTGAAGTTCTCGCCGATATGACAAACCCTGCGCCAACTGCCGGCGCACCAGCAATGTTCGGGATGGGTGTGGCACTGGCGCTGCTGCTGCCGCCACCATTGGCACCAACACCGACACTGCTGCCGCGGCCCACGGTGCGTGGGCTCATGACGCTCAGCCGAGGGCTGCGGGGAACGCTCTGTTGGCGCGTCTCACGGCGGCTGTTCTTCAGAACGCGCAGTTCCTCGCGGGCCCACTCGAGCTCGCGCTCGCGCTCACCGAGCATGGTGACGGCTTCGGCCCACTGTTGACGTGCCGCTTCAGATTCGTTGCGGTTCTGTGCCTCATGGATTTTGACTAGGTTGTCGCTGGCACGGTGTTCGAGCTCCTTTATCCGGGCGTTGAGGTTGCGGTTCTCGGCACTTAAGTCGGCGGCTGCGTTGGAAGCGTCCTGGTAAGCACGGCGTGCGTGGGATAGATCGTTGTCGGCATTGGACGACTTGCGCTCGAGTATCGTGACCCTGTCCTGGGCTTCCTTGAGCGCAACGCGGGCAGCGCCTAGCTCAGCCACATCGACCTGGCTGGAGCCAGCAAGAAGGGCGTTTGCCTCAGAAAGGTGGTTCTCGAGCGCCGTCGTCTCGGTACGCAGTTCGGCCAGTGACACCGTGCGAGCTTCCAGCTTTTCCTTGACCGCGTCGGCTTCCTTAATGGCCTTATCTCGCTCAGCTTCAAAGATACCACGATCCTTGACGGATTCAATCAGCTTCTTCTGACAATTGATAATGGTGGAGGTGTTGCTCTTGACCAGACGGTCCAGCGTGCGCACACGCTCCGTCAACGTCGCCTCAAGGCCCTCTTTATCTTCCAATTGAGACTCCAGGAGCGTGACCTTCGCAGCCAGTGCTTCGAGCTGAGCTAGCGATATCTGAACGGTTGAGCTACTGTCGGCGGCCGTCACATCAAGGCGGCCCAGGGCATACTTGATGACATCGTTGAACTGTATCGGCACTTCGCGAACAATGGGATTCGTGGCATCAGTCAGACGCACTCGCTTCGGTGTGTCGCTGACCTGATCGTCACCGTCCTGTTTGAAGTGTCAGTTGTGCCTTGAACTCCGTATTAACCTTTTTATTTCCACAAATGGACTTACGTCGCTTACTAATTGCCGTTTCCGTGATGTGAGGAGGCCACCGTCAAGGGTCTCTTCTTGCGTAAATGTGGGCTGTGATACGGCACCCGAGGAATGTATATAAATATCAAACACCTCCTCCGGGAGCGGTGTCGGGCCCCAGGCTAGAACATCAGTGGGGTCCGCGATCATCTTGGCGAATGCTGTGGCTGCCTCGTGGGGTTTTGGCGGGTTGATGTCGTATGGGTTATCTCTGAGATGGGACAGGCACTCAATCGTGCACAGAAGAAGGGCGTTTTTACGCTCCATGTCATCAACCGAGTTGCGTTCGAGACGGAGGTCGACGTGCTCCAGCGACAAGGCGCTGACTAGAAGCATGACAATAGGTTTTGGCAGCTGGCGGCGGGCGCCTTTGCCATAGTTCTGCGCGGCAACGTTTTCTGCCGTCGCCGTTGAGCCGTCCAGGAAGTAGCCAAGAAGGCCAGATGTCCGTGCCGTGTGATCAAAGCCAATGACAATGTCAAAGTCACCAGGCCGAGGGAAATCGTCGTCGTTGGTTCTGGTCGCGTTTATGGCCTCTCGCATCTCGGTCGTGTCGGCTAACAAGACACTGAGCGAACCACTTCGACGGCGTCGTCTCTCCTGCTGTCCAGAGTCGCCTGATTCAGTCGAGGTCTTGCCTGGGTTGAGTGGGCGGGGATGAGTGTGGCTGCCAGCTTGGAAGCGTTCCACTGAGATGCCGGCAGTACTGACGATGGCCTCGACGTAATCCATAGCGACACCCTTACGCACGAGGATTAACACGTCCTTCTCGAGCGTCGAGATGGCTTCGAGAAACTCGTAGACAAAGGAGTACTTGCTGTTCGTGTCGACGGCATGTTTCATCATGGCCTCTTTAGACATAGGTGGGAGGCTGTCGTAGAATGTAGGCAGATCAGAAAAGTCCATCAGCTTGCGCAGCAGCTCATCAATACGGGCAACGGCCTCGGCACTTGGAACCTCGTACACATCGCGGGAAAAGACTTCACTAAAGTCCTTGATAGCCTTCTGGTTCTCTTTCTCGATAACAAGATCGGCGTAGTACTGGCGCGTGTTGGCAGCAAAAGGGAGTGTCACAACATAGCTAGAGGTGGTGAAGTTGGGTCCCGATAAGGATGGGAGATCATCTTCATCGCCCCCCATGGACAGAGGACTGGACGGTGCTTCGGCCTCATTCTTCTTGGCCTCATCGTCATCTCCAGCGTCATCACCATCATTCCCGTCGAAATCGTCAACATCAGCATTGACCGTATTACCGCTGCCTTCGATACCTACCAGAGGGTACTCAGGTTCGGGCTCAGGCGACAGCTCGAGGCCAGAAGTCGCCATGGGATCAGCATCAACAAAGGAGAGGTCACCGGGTGCAATCGTGACGGAGTGGATATCGGGTGCGTTGTTAATGGCGGCGGGAGAGATGAGAAGCGGCAGCGAAGTATCAATGGTGCCAGGGGCGTCAAGCGCAGCGTCTGCTCTGGTTGCCGGTGTAGTCGTTAATGGAACTGAAACAGGTAAGACATTACTTGAGCTACTGGTGATGCTCTCTTCTTGGGAGGCCTGCTGATGCGGCTGCTGCTCTTGCTGCTGGGAGGAGGCGGCCGCCATTTCTTCTTCGAGACGATGGATCTCAGCAAGGACAAGCGGGTCATCCTCGTCGGTCATACTACTGTCAACCATAGCATCGTCGTTGGCCGTTGAATCAAACTGAGCCTGCATTGCCTGCCGGAGTTTGTCGACAGCCGATATGGGCTGCCGGGGCGATTCGTCCATGATCGCTTCTGGGGCTCTGTAGATTTGCTGGGAGGGAGTGCTGGGGCGGGGATTGGAGAGATCGGTCGGGCTGTCAAACACACGATCGCGGCCTTGGTTGTTGCTGTAGGGAGGCGGTATAATCTGCGCCGACGAGGGACGTGGGATGGACGAAAAGGAGCTGCCAGTTGTCTGCGAAGGGTTGCGGGCAGCGCTTAGGACCGTACTAGCAACGCGAATCGGTCGTGTCGAGTCGTGAATGATAGAAACAGCAGAAAAGTTGTTGCTGCCGGCTGCGGAGGAGGAAAGGGGGGTTTTGGTGCCGCCTGGAATTTGTTGTCCGATCGGTTGGCCCGGCTGCTGGCTTTCCTGGGTAAGGAGACAGAAATCGGCCTCAGGCTGTGTTAGGAAATTGAGAGACGCGCTCCCAGTGCCACTGGTAGTGGACTTATCAGCACTGGCTTCAACAGGTGTAGAGGGCTCTTCAGATGCCCAGTCGGTAGATGACCGAAACAGCTGATTCTCCTGGGACGGGGTAGGGAGAGGACACGGAACAACCTGTGCTTCACCACTGGCAGTGCTGTCGGTATTTGGGGCCGGCTGCTGTGAGAGGACCGAGGGGATAAAAGATGGAGATTGTGATTTTGCAGCCTGTTGCAGTAACTCCTGCGAAACCTGGGACACTTTCGGTGTTGGAACCTCGTCGGGGATGGGGCTGCTGTCCTCGAACTGGTCGACGAATAGTGGCAGCTCGTCGTCTGGACCAATGGCAGTACGAAGGGTGCCGTTTTCTTCAGCCTGGGAGTCAGGAATCGTGAGCCCAGAGGGTAACTGTGGGCAATCTTCTTCAAAATCTGCCTCGTCCGGCGAGTTGGACTTCTGCGAGGAATGGTAGACCGAAGAGAGTTGCTCACTGGTGGGTGACAAACTGGGGAGGTCGTCTGACGAGAACTGGAAAGCAACGGCAGACTGCGGCTGCAACCACCCGTTCCTCTGCAGGGCGAGACGGGAGATCTGGGAGAGGTGGGATTGCTGTGACAGGCGGATGTACTCCTTTGGGTCAAAGTCTGGACGCGTGGTAATATCGACCAAATGGACAGTAGCTGCAGTTCGGAGGACAGTATCTGGGTCAAGGCGCTCCGGGTTGCGAGACACCTCGTTGTGATCAACGCTCTGTTCACGAGTGGCAGGAGGTGAAGAAAGAACACTTTGGCCTTGGCCCTGGCTCTGGCTCTGGCGCCGGCTTTGGCTTTGGCTCTGATCGTTGCCGGTCAAGCTGGGCTCGACAGCACGGCTTGTGTCCAGTCGAATGCCCCGTACAAGGCGTCTCTTGCGCGGCGGTGGGGTTGCGTCCTCGCCCGCGATTTCCTTCTCAGAAGGAGAGACAGGACGCTTGCGCTGCAGCCTCCTGCCGATGCTCTTTTCGGGAACGTCGCTGCCACCGTTACCAGACGGTGGCGTGAGAGCCTGAGACTCCTGGGACGTGAGAACGCTGCTTGTGTTGGCGTACGAGCTCTGAGAGGAGATTTCGACCGGGACAGACTTTGCAGGCGAAGACTTGGGCTTGCTAGACTTGGGTGCATGCGTTGCCGTAGACTTGGACTTGGGCTTGGGCTTTGGTTTGGTCTTGAGCGTAGACTGGCCGGCAGTTTGGATGTTGCGTGCCTTTTTGACCTGTTTCCAGTCGCGGACAGCCTCGCTGTTGGCGTCGCGTGCAGGAATCTAGAAAGTTAGCCCACGGCCCAGACTACCAAAAAAAAAAAAAAAAGTAAATAAGAATAAAGAAATAAAAACATAAAAGCATAAAATCATAGAACATAAAACTTCGCCAGTCGCAATCCAGACACAACATACCCAAGACTTCTCGTACGACTTGCCGGTGACAGCGTCGTTGCACCAGTCAATCAAATAATAACGGACGCCGCGTTCAAGCTTCTCATCAACAATGTCCTTGATGGCATACCACTCGCCGTCCTGGCTTTCTGCACCCTCGACGTCGTCCGTAGCAGGCGACGGCGTGGTTTCCTTTGCAGGATTGGTAGGCTTGGTAGGCTTGGTAGGCTTTGTGGATTTTGTGAGCTTTGTTGGCTTTCCCGGCTTCTGCTTGTTGTTTTTGGTGGATTTGGAAAATTTCGGCAGATTCGTGCTGAGAGGGAGCTGGGTCGAAGGCCCCACGATACTGCTCGAAGAGACGGTGGGATGGGAAGAAGGGCTTTGCGCGAGCTCGGGCATTGATGTCTGGGCTTCGCGTTGTGCCGTGGTGCGCGTTCGGCGTGTGGTCGACGATGAGGAGGGCAGCAATGCTGAAATGTTGTTTCGCTTTTGGGTGTTTTTCAAAACAGCTGAACGAAGTGACGTTGACTTGGACCGCGCGCGCGCCGTTTTTGAGCGTTCCCGGATAGGATCCCTACTTTTCTGAAGCGAAACAAAGAGGGCTGGCGAGGCAGAGGCTGCGAGGGGTGGAGGGGTTGCTGGAAATGGCTGAGACGCCGACGGTGATGTGTCGTCGTCCATCGGAGCGTCCCAAGCGCGATGCGTGTAGCCAAGATTAGTGGACGGATTTGGCAGAGGCGTGCTAGATATCACCACGTGAAGTGTCACGTGAGGCGCTATTGCGAATAGTGAAGCAAAGTAGCTGTGGAACGTCGACGAGCTGTGGGCGTACTTTTTTCGCGACTTGGAAGTGCAGAGGAATGTTGGTTGAGGTTGGAGAAAAGAAGAAAGAGTTCAGAGAGAATGTTTCGCAGAAATTGAAGACCAGAATGAAAGCAAGGAATCCAGAGAGCAGGCTGCCAGGTTCTTTCTCTCTTTCGTCGGCGCAGAGTGGCAGAACCAACTACAATGGGAGTTGGTCTGTCCCAATTAGGAAACTACGCAGTCGAAGCACAGTTTGGAGCTCTTCATGCTATTCATGTACCATCATTCACTGTGCCAAAAAGTCGCAAAAAAGTCTCCACAGCTGTGTAACGGAGAGGCCTTGCTTTGGCCTGGCTGAGTGTCATTCACCGTCTACGGTGATCATTTATGGCACGAGATCACTCCAACATACGCCGTATTGTGAGGCCATGTGCAATCTCTATCGTGCTTGCTTCTATTGTGATGCAGATTCGTTAACCGGCAGAGTCGTTCCTGCCAGTATGTGCTCACTTACTTGTAGAAAGTGTAGAGAAAGCTAGTCTACTGTGGTGAATATTTGCCCAATGCACCTTCCTGTTCGCAGAGACCCGTTTGTAGGAGAGGAGGCAAGAGCTGCAGTCAATAGATCTGTACGGCAGCTACAATTCACGACATACAGAAAGAGCAATGGAGTAGCCACGCCCCCCCCACATTCAGCAGGCTATTCAGCAGGCAGCATCGACCGTGAATCTGCTACTGGGGACCTCTCGATCATTTTTCAGCCTTCTCTCAGATTCCGTTTACATTTTCAGCAAGTTGCCCCAACCTGCCAAGTCCAATCGTTAAACAGCCCTAGCCACGAAACTTGCGCGACTTGCCATCATTCGACACTTTTAAGCGACTGATGGAATAATCGTCAAACTTCAGAACAACATCGAGACCTTCAAAGAGAACTCAAAGGTCAATTACAATGATCGAAAAGTGTTAGCTCGATGCTGATAGAAGATATAAGCTGCCACCAACACGTACTACCCCAGCTCGCTCCCGCCGCTAACGCTCATACCCCGTCAGCCGGGCGAAGCTCTGCTGGGGTCTGAATGAGACCTCGCCCGGCTGCTGGGAACGGCTGACCTATGAACTTATAGGGCACACGCACGTTCCACCGATGACTTTCCAAGACACCGAAGCAAGCTCGCTTCGTATCCCGTAGTGTGATAACGCGGCTGTCACGCTGCTATCGCGCCCCGTCTCCGCTGGGGTCGTTTGCGCACATGGAACTTGCCGATCCTCTATCCTCTCATCGCTGGCCCTCCTGCACCAGCTTCTGTTTCCTTTGAGGGATCGGTGAGAAGTTCCAAGAGCGTCGATCTCGACGACATCGCGCGTTGTTCTCGAGCACGTTTTCTCCGTGCTGCACTTCCAACCTCCGCATTTGTCCATTTGTCCATTTGCCCATTTGCCCATTGTCAAATTCTCGCATCTCACTGCAGCTCGCCCGCGGCACCTCCTCTCCGCTTTCAACGTCTTCTTGCGGCCCGTCCTCAAAGTGGCATGGCACTCGACTCTTCCCCTCACTGCCTCCACATACTACATGCTATATAACGCCTGCTTCCCGCCGCGAGACGGCTGTTGTGCCCCATGAGGCCCAGAGACGCAGCCCACGGTGCCCTGACGACATCCGCCTTTACTGTCCTAGTGCTTGTGTCTGTCTCCCTGCTGCTCGTCTTGCTCTTGAACATGAAGTCCTCAACCGCTTTGGCCGTGGCCGCAGCCACAGCTGGGCATGTCGCTGCCGGTGCCACCGGTACCTCGTCCACCTCCACGCTGCCATCGGCACAGCCCGCTACACGCATCCCGGGCATCTCGGCCTATGTCGTGCCTGCGGCCTTTCCGACAACGGCTTTTGCTAGCTACTATGTCAAGCCCGGCCCGACCAACGAGCCCCAGCCGGTGCTGAGCGACCCGGCTTTGAAGGAGACCTTTCCGCTCAACCTGACGAGCCCGTTCAGCATTCCAGACACGAACGACGATCCCATCTATTACCCGCAGCCGCTGGCCAACCTGAGCGATGCGAGTGCTTCTGCCGTCATCCAGGCCGCCACGTCTGAGATCAAAGACATTCTCTCTGCGAACCGGTCATTCCCCAACAACTGCTCGCGCTGTGTCGCTGCTTTGGCCGTCGGCCAGATGGCTGCCCGTCTGGCGCCCTCTGCTCTGCCTGCCGCCATGGTTGCGCTGTGTGAAGCAACGGGGTTTGCGTCCAACGAAACTTGTGCCACCAACTACGCCCCTGGGACGTTTGGTGCTGCGTGGACGCAGATTCTCGCGGCGGCCGATGTGACGGGACTTGATGGCCAGTACATTTGTGCATCGCTCAGCACACAATTCTGCCCCAGCCCCGGCGTGCAGTCTGTCAAGGCCGTCTTTCCCAAGCAGCGACCACCCCATGCAAATACCGTGCCAGCACGGAGTGGCCAGCGTGTCAAGGTTCTGCACGTTTCAGATCTGCATCTGGACCCGCGCTATCTCGTCGGCAGCGAAGCCAATTGTACTTCCGGCCTCTGCTGCCGGCCGCCCGATCTCTCGGCTGGCCGCACGGCTACCGCCAGCTCTGCCGGTCCAGCCTCTACCCCAGAGATATCCGTGCCAGCACCGCTCTTTGGCTACTTCCGCTGCGACTCGCCGTACTTTTTGGCACTTGCAGCCCTGCAGGCGATTGGTCCTCTGACCGGCACATCTGCTGAGGATCCTCTGGCCTTTACACTCTACACGGGCGACTTGGTCGCCCACGACCCTATCAATCAGCTCTCCGAGTCCTATGTCGAGTACGTCGAGGCCTCGCTGTGGCAGCTTTTCAAGGAGTACATTGGCGGGCCCATCTACTGCGCCCTGGGCAACCACGACACGGCCCCGGACAACCTCGATGCGCCGCAGGGCATCGACGACAAGGGACCGCTGGGTCGCCAGTTCTCGTGGAACTACGACTACGTCTCCAGTCTGTGGAAGCACTATGGCTGGATCGACGGCGCCGCCGCGGCCGAGGCCGCCCTGCACTACGGTGCCTACTCAGTCGTCGACCGCCTCGGTGTGCGGATCATCACCATCAATACCGACATGTACTACAAGAGCAACTACTACGCATTCCTGCACGCCGCCAATCCGGACTTCTCGGGCATCTTTTCGTTCCTGATCCGCGAGCTGCAGCGTGCTGAAGACGAGGGCCAGCGCGTCTTTGTCGTGGGCCACGTGCTCAGTGGTTGGGACGGCTCCAATGCGCTGCCCAACGGTGCCGATCTCTTTTACCAGATTATTGACCGCTACTCGCCGCACGTCGTTGCTAATGTCTTTTTCGGCCATACCCACGAGGACCAGGCCTTTGTTTACTACCGCAACAATGCCACCCGCCAGACAGCCGAGGATGCCGTTGCCAATGCCTGGGTCGGGCCCTCCATCACACCGCTGACCAATCTCAACTCGGGCTTCCGCATGTACGAGATCGATACGGGCTCCTGGGAGGTGATGGATGCGTACACGTTCTATGCCGATGTCGACACTTTCGAAGCACTTAATGTGACGGCGCCGTCTGATTCGAACGCCGACTCTGCCAGCGGCAGTGAGGGCCCCGTCTTCCGCTTTGAGTACTCAACTCGTGCGGCTTACGGCCCTGCCGTGCAATGGCCAGACGATGCACCGCTCAACGCCACCTTCTGGCACCGCGTTACTGAGGCCATCGAGGCCGACAAGTCGCACCGTCTCGTCAGTCAGATGAACCTGTACCAAAGCAAGAGCAGCGTGCGCACGCCCAACTGCACAAACGACGCCTGCTCTGCCGCCAAGGTGTGTTACATGCGCAGCGGCAACGCGGCACTGGGCCGTGCCTGCCCGCAAGGATTTAGCAGCGTGCAGAGCCCATTCACGGGCAAGAATTTTTAGTGTTTTTTGGGGGTCCGGGGGGAATATACAGCTGGCGTTTATTGGAAAGCGCTCTAATGCCTACACTGTCTATTATTTATATATATATATATATTTGGTTTACACAATAGAACAAGGTATTTATTTTACGTCTTCATCTGCGCCTTCGCCGTCTATGTCTTTGTTTCATCGCCCTGGCTGGCCTTGGCCGACCGAAGAGCAAGGTGGTAGGTCTCCAACTGTTGAGGCGTCATCCGCCCGGGGCTCTTTACAGACTGGTCCTCGCCCTTCATGCTCTTGGGGAAGACAATCACATCACGAACAGATCCGGTCCCGCTCAGGACTGCAACCAATCGGTCAAAGCCCAGCGCAAAACCGGCGTGTGGTGGGCACCCGGCCCGCAGCGCGTCCAGCAGATGCCCGAATTGCGCCACGCCTGCGTCATCCATCTTCAAAATGTCCCGCATGACAGCCTCTTGCACTGCTGCTACGTGGATGCGCCGGCTGCCACCGCCCAGCTCAACACCGTTCACCACCAGATCGTAGTGGTCGGCCTTGGCGCGCAGCGGATCGGTTGTCAGCAGCTCAAAGTCCCGCTCAGTCAGGGGCGCCGTGAACGGGTGGTGCGTCGCCGAGAACCCAGCATGCCCGCCCTGGCCCGGGTCTGTCGTGTCGGCGTCGGTCGCCGTGAACATGGGGAAGCCGACCACCCACAAGAACCGGAACGTGTCATCAAACGGCAGCAGTTCCTCTTCGACGGCCGCGCGGTACGCCTCCAGCCGCAGCAGGCCCAGTGCCGTCGAGCCACCGCTGAAGAATGGCGCCCGCTTCCGAGCCTGTAGCAGCAGCACGTCGCCGTCTTCAAGGTCGGACAGGCTGGCCAGTTCCGGGTGCAGGTCTGTGTCGGTCAGTGCGTCAAACGCCTCGTGGCCCAGCGGTGCGAGACCGCACAGGGGCTTGCTCGAGTCGTAGACCATAACGGCCGGCATACCGTCAGGGTTCTTGCTGATCGCTGTTGGCAGCGCATCAAACAGCCGCTGCACAAACTTGCGACTTTCTGACGGACTCCCGTCCAGCCGCAACCGCCAAGCGTCAACAATAGGGTCTTCAAGTGATGTGATCATGCTTGTGAAGTTCGAAGGGAGGATGTGGTCCAGGCGGTGGATCTACAACGACAGAATGCGTCAGAAAAAATAAAAAATGTTAAACCTGGAGCCTGTCACAGGCATATCAGTGGTTCCTTACCTCGCCTGGGATCCGCAGATCGGGCTTGTCAGACCCGTACTTGGCCATGGCCTCGTCGTACGCCATCCGCAGGAAGGGCTCATCCGGAAGCACAGCATACGGACGTGTTGACGGCGTTCCTCTACCCCGCGAGAGTGCTTTGACCGGGACCGGGATGGTTTCGTTGCCGTCGCCCGTACCATTCTTCACGAGGCGGTATGTCTCGCCCAAATATGCAAACAGCTCCTTTGTGTACCGCTCCACAGCCTGCATGACGTCCTCGCCCGTCGCAAACGCCATCTCCAGGTCCAGCTGTGTAAACTCGGGCTGGCGGTCCGCGCGCAAGTCCTCGTCCCGGAAGCACCGTGCAAACTGAAAGTAGCCGCCTGCAACGCCCGACGCCATCAAGATTTGCTTAAACTGCTGCGGGCTCTGTGGTAGCGCATATGCAAAGCCACGCCGCCGCGTAGGCACAATAAACTCGCGTGCACCTTCCGGTGTCGACTTGAAGAGCACGGGCGTCTCAAATTCACGGAAGCCGGCAGATGTCAGCTGGCGCCGTGACCAACCGGCGACGTCGCTGCGGAACGCCAGTCGCCGCTGCAACGCTTCGGAGAAGCGCATCTGCAAGTGGCGCGCCGTGGCCGGGAACTGTACGCCCTTGGACACAATGATGTCGCGGGGGAACGCATTGAGCACCTGGATGCCTGCAAGGCGCACGAGCGCGTTTCGTGCCTCGGCTTGTCCGCCACTAGACACCTCTTCGACCTGGCCCGTAACAGACACGGGACTATGCGCATTGGTCGCCTTGAGTTGAAGGTGCAGCTCGTGCTCGGGACTGCCTTCCACCTCCCATGCCGAGCGCACCTGCACTGGCCGTGGTCGGCCTGGATGAACGACGTCGACGAACGCTGCCTTGGTCGAGATGTCACGACGCTTCCCAAGAAAACCATGCACCGTGACAGTGGCTCCTACACGGAGGTTATCTGCAGGCGATTCGGGTGCAAAGTGGACTGTCGTGTATATTAGTCCGCGTCCAGTCAAGCATATATGTCTATATAAGTCTAGATTGCAAAGTCAAATCAAGGTGTCTTACAGCTCTGTTTGTATTCATCCCACAGTTTGGCTTTGTCTTCAGCTGTGACTTTCGATGTTTTGGAGCTTTCTTTAGCAAGTCGTGCAGATGAAACACTGAACAGCCGGCATAAGGTCGGTCTCGGTACTGCACGGATGCCACGACAGCAGAACCGGCTTCGTGAGGCCACCAGGGTCTGTACGCCATGGCGTGAAACGGCTGTTGTGCTCATGGCCACTGTCACTGGGTGCTGGTTGTCTATGCTATAAGCACATAGCGATATAGTAATAAAAAAAGGAAATATCTAAGCAACGGCAATCTATCGCGAGTCAGGATCGCTGTCGTCGAGAACGTGTGGTTCCTGAAAACGCCGGGAGCTCAACACGGTTGATGATGATACAGTGCGATGAGATACATCAGGCTGTTGTGCACTGTAAAGAGGTCTTCCCGGACCAATAACCGCCCGCGCCGAGGACCCACATGACACTAGCGCGCCGTCAAAAAATATATATAACAAAAAAGCTCGGAAGAAGCTTTGAGGCTCTCTCTTTTCCCTTTTTTCCTTCATCCTTCCAATTCAAGTAAATGTGAGTAGCAACTTTCGATGCCACAACACCCACCGCGCCGTCCACCGTTGCTAACAACGACAGATGATGAAAGCCAGCGTGTATTCCTAGATGATGCTTTCCACCCTCCGCCGCAGGTAACTCTCCTTCTTAACAGGAGGCTCAAGTGGTTGCCTGTATGTGGAGGGACCGGAAATCGTGAAATAAGCGTTCGGCACACCGACCTTGTATTAACGGACGCGATGACGGCACTCTGACCAACACTTGAATGAAGGAGGCAACCTTTGCTGACGCTGTTTGGGGATGGACACGCAAAGGGAAGCCACAACATAAGGGAGGCCGAAATGGAGAGAGGGAGAGACAGGACGGCGAGACACAACGTCGTTTCTCATGTCACCCTGTGCCCGCTGTCTTGCTTTCTCGCGTTGCTTCCGGGTATCCTGCATGCCCTGTCATTTCTTGTCGTGCTCTTGTTGTCGGTTTCCATCTGTTTTGCTTATCTTTGCGTCACATTCTACAGGGACCCGGAACCCGCAACAGCTTCTGTCTAAAGTTGGGCAGGATTTTGCTGTTGTTGCCGCTATTACCTTTTGTCTTCTCCCTCGTCCTTTCATTGTTTATGCCTTGTTCGTCTGTCTTGCCATGTTTTGATTATTACTATCGTTTTTCATAGCCCTACTTCCCAGCTAAGCCTACCGGATAGAAAAATATATCTTGCTAAACATACTTACCTAAGTGGGAATCGACGTGCCTGGCCCCTGACCAATCAGGGGCGTATCGCCCTCGCGTGGCCGCTGGAGAATTGTATGGTAAGAATCCCCCGCTGTCCCAGTGCAATGGCTGCCCGACGTCAGCGCCTTCCATGGCACCTAATTGGCGGTTTAATACGTCGTAAAACGCAGGCCGCCGTAAACCACATTGGCCTGCAGCCGCAACACAGCGCCGTTAGCGTCTTCTCTTGCCCATTCTGGCGCATCTCCGCGTAATCCTCTTGGCTGTGCCTTCCTGTGCCTCGCTCGCCCTGTCTGTTGTTCCTTCCCATTAGAATCCCAACTTTGCAGCCTATTTATCCTGAATACTTGCACTATCGTCGGCTTCATTCAGGCCAAATATTGTATCTCACATACTTTGTACGCTTGTAGCGCCGTTTCTCTCTGGCCGCGCAGCCTCACCGCCTGCCGTTCTCACCATTCCCAAGAGCGTCTGTTCTATCTCTTTAGGCCAGTTCGCAGCCCTGCAGCAGCTAATTCCCGCCGCCGCCGAGCATTCCACCTCTCTCCACCCAGCCTCTTGCTTTTCGCTCTCCTTTCCTCATCGGTTTCCCATTGACTTGATTCCACCCCCTTTCCTGGTTGTTCTGTCCCGGTATCGTTATTTATTCCCCCTCTGCCATGGCGTTGGTACCAATTGTCGCAACAGTCGCCTAAACACCCAGCTACGTCGTCCCTGTCCCAGTCCTATTTCCCTCGTCTGCCGCGAAACGAGTACACAAAGAAAGCCCGCCCGTCGAACTCGTTGAATCCCTTAACGCCCCTCGATCTCCTCTTAAAACCTGCGGCTCCTAGCTACTCGCGCACGTCCTCTGTCTCTCCCCTCGCCCCCAACCGACCTCCTGGCGGCCTGTCCGCCTACGCCGTGCTCAAACGGTTCAGCCTACATACGACGTAATTACACCGCGGTCTTTTCTTTACTCGCCCTTGATCGCCCCGCCCTTGGTAGCCCTTGACAGCTGTCTGACAGTTTTCGACCGAGAGCGGCTTATGCGCCTGCGGCATCCCCGTGTCGTGCCCTGCCCTATTCCTATATCTGCGGCCCTGGTTGTCGATCATCGATTTTTACCTCGCGGGTTTCTGGCAACCCTCCAGTTTTCGGCCTCAAGACGTAACCGGGTCGTTGGATTCTAGCCTGTTCGTGCATCGGTTTTCTTCATAGCGTCACAGACTTTATAGTACCCTCTGCGCCCGCGCCCCCTCTGCGCCCGCGCCACCAGAACACCCGCCCTAAGTCGGCAGCTGTTGCAGCTCCCCGACCACCATGGCGAGCTCCTTTGAGAAGTCCGTCAAGGGCGCGACCAAGGTCAAGGTATGTATGCAGTCTTTTGACGCTGTCCGTCTTGCCTTCGTTCTCTGCTGACCGCCCTATTTCTCCACCTCCAGCTTGCGCCGCCGAAAACAAAGTACATCGAGCACATCCTCATCGCCACACATGCAGACGAAGCCGGCGTCGGCGAGGTCTTCCGCGCCCTGCAGTACCGCCTCCACGACTCCACATGGACGACCGTTTTCAAGAGTTTGATTACCGTCCACCTCATGATCCGCGAGGGCGCCCACGACGCCACGCTTTCCTATCTCGCCAAGCACCGGAATATTTTGGCCCCAATTTCGATTAATGATGGTACGTGGCAAGACAGGAAGGATACATGGCGTCCAGATGTACCGTGCTTTGTTTGTGACGAAAGAGTGAATGTTGGATGGCGGGCTTGGAGTATATTGCTAACTCTCCTCTACAGCACAGACACAAGGCCGGAACATCAGGCACTACGCAACCTACCTGAACGAACGAGCACGAGCGTACCGAGACACAAATTGTGACTGGGTGCGAGTTAAAGAGACACGCCTGGAGAAGCTCACGGTGGACAAGGGCTTGTTGCGTGAGACCGAGGCTGTGCAGAACCAGCTCACGGCCCTTTTGAAATGCAGCGATGTGAGTCTTTTCGTGCACGTCGTGGTGGAACCATCCGAGTCGGGTAGATTGTGTTCTGAGTGCTAACAACTTGGGCAACCAGATTATCGACGGCGACCAGCTAAACGAGATCACCATCTTTGTCTTCCGCCTTTTGGTCCGGGACCTGTTGGCCCTGTTCCAGGTTCTCAACCAGGCCATGATCAATATCTTGGGTAAGCCACATAGCACGAGACGCAAGCAGGACCACGCAGCATCAGTGACATGGGTAGCATAGTCGGTACTGACACACCCATGTACAGGCCACTTCTTTGAGATGTCCAAGGTCGACGCCGACCGGGCAATGCAGGTGTACCAAACCTTTACGCGGCAAACCGACCACGTTGTGCAGTTCCTCAGCATCGCCCGCCAACATGAGCACCAGACCCGGGTTGAGGTGCCCAAGCTCAAGCATGCGCCCGTCAACCTGGGCCGCCAGCTAGAGGAGTACCTCAGCGACCCCGACTTTGAGGTCCACCGCAGACAGTACCTAGCCGAGCTCGATGCGAAGAAGTCCAAGGGCAGCTCAAGCGGCTCAACATCCAAGCCGCTGGGCGGCGACAAGAGCAGCTCCACAAACCGCAGCAACACAACAGCGGCCAAGCCGTCGTCCTCAACAGCAACGAAGTCGGCGGAGACCACAAACGGTTCCAGTAACAACAATCTCATCGACTTTTTCGATACCCTTGAGCAGCAAGTCCCAGCGCAAGCACAGCCTGCACCACAGCAACAACAGCCGCAGCAAACGGTGCAAACCGGCATGACGCCATGGGGCCACGTGGCGAACAATGGCGTCTTCCCTGACCAGCAACAGCAGCACGTCGGCATGTTCCAGCAGCAACCAAACGGCTTCGGTGCACAGCCGACTGGCTTCCAGTCTACCAACCCGTTCCAAATGCAGTCTACTGGTGCAGCTTTCAACCTGCCGCAACAGCAGGCCCCGCAGCAAATGCAGCCTGCTTTCACAGGCATGGGTTTCGGTGGGTTTACGCCACAGCAACAGCAGCAACCACAGCAGCAGGGTTTCCAGCCTACGGCTCTCGGATCGATTCCACAGAACTCAACGGCGTCATTCCAGCAGCAGCAACAGCCAGCAACCCCTTCGACCCTGGAATCACAGCACGTCGGCAGGGTGGCCGGCCAGCAAGCCACGAACCCGTTCAGACAATCCATGATGCCCACGGGTGGTGTACAAAACATGGGCTCCGCCTTCAGCAACGGCAGCACCCCGAGCCCACTTGTCGCCCAACAAACATCGACGAACCCCTTCGCCCGCAACTCGCCACAAACGGCACTGCCGTTCGGAACGCCAAACTCAGCTACCGGGACCGGCTCTCCAGCCGCGCTGGTACCGATGAAGACGGGCACAAACCCGTTCGCCAAAGACTATGGCTTGCCTCAGCAGGAACAGCACCTGCGGCCACACACAGCAGGCGGTGTCAGCAACAATACACCTTCGATGGGCGCTGCCCCGCTCATGCCACAGCAGACAGGCAGCACAAACCCCTTCCGGCAGTCTACCTTTATCAACCAGAACACAGGCATGGGCTGGCAGCACAACCAGAACACAGGTGGCCTGCTAGTCCAGCTCGAGACGGTGCCTGTCTTCCCACGCCCAGGACAGCAGAACCAATGGCAATAGGTAGTTCGGCTGTTGTAGACGGGCGGCATTCCCTTTCCCCCTCCTTTTGTTTGGCCATCTAATTGCCACCCGCTTTTTATTATCTCTCTTTGCTAGCTGTTGGCTGTCCACCCACTGTTGACTGTTGATTCAGCGAGGCGTTTATATTCCAGGGTTTTATCATTTTTACCAAACTCATTTTATTTCATTTTATTTCGCATCTTTAGTTCACCCGAGCTGTTTTCTATTCCATTCTCCATCTATGCTGTTCCACGCCTTATGCGCTTTTTCTAACTTCCTCTATTCAAATACATATTGAGAATTTAGTTTTCATTTGATAAGCAAAGATGCCTACTGAAGTGTATAATCACGCCCGCTTTATTGTGAAAACTCTCAGCAAATAGTCCTCCTTTTATAATTATGATACAAGTGGCCCTTGACACAATTTCATAGGTCCACTGTTTTTATCCAAAACGCCGACTGCGATGCATATACAATAAAAGATCAAATCGAACAAATAGAGACAGAAATAAGCCACTCGCTACCTCAGTAGGAGTCGACCTCCATCTTGATGGGTATATTGGATGGGTCCCCAGCTGCCAATGATGCACCGTACGTTGCCACGCCCACGGCAGACGACCCTTCGCGGCCCGTCTCTTTTTCGTCGTCGACAAAGACGGCCAGACCGGAGAACGCCTCGAACAGCGCCCGCGCGCAGTACTCGTGCACATCATAGCCGCCCACCACATGACTGTTGTGCTCGCGCGCGCCTTGCAACCAAGTGTTGCGATACTCACCGGGCTGCACACGGAAGCGCGAGGGAGCCGGGTCCAAGCCCTCGTAAGGATCGTAGGGCCCGTCGGCTGCTGCCGCTGCTGCCGCCGCAATCTTGCGCTTGTCCTTGAGACCACGGATCGTGAGTCCCGGTGCATTGGAGGCGTTGTCCCGGTTGAGCAAGGCCTGCTCCTCGGCATTGAGGAGCCCCTCACGTTGGTGCTGGCCGCGGCGACGGAGCATGATACGCCCAGCTGCCACGCCGCCGTCGTCGTCAGGTGCCTTGCTGAGACTGTCGAGATCGGCCTCGTGGGCGCGCACCTTGGCCCGACGCTCCTCTTCGTCTTGGCGCAGGGCTTCCAACCGGCGAGTGCGTGCTGCCTCCTTCTCCGTGGCCATGCGCGCCTTTGTGAGCTCGTCGGCGCGCTCACCGCGGCGGCGGTTCCGGTCAATCTCGGCCCGGTGCTCGGCCTCCCACCGCGACAGCTCGGCCTCGGCAGCGCGACGCGCCGGCACAACCGTGCCGACGAGGTCCATGGTCAGGGACTCGACCTTTTCCAGGTATTCGTTGTAGTCGTCGAGGCTCTCAAAGTCGTCCTGGCTTTGGTTAAAGACTGCCGCGACTCGTCGGCGCAGGTCGACTTCCCGCTCAACAACAAGGTCGTCAAAGAACGGTTTCCGAAAGTCCTTGCGACGCAGAGTTTTGTGGCAGCCGGCGTAGGGGCACTGGTTGGGGCCGGCAAAGAGGCGGTTGACGCAGTTGGAGCACATGGGGTGGTAGCACTCGGGGTTGATAAGGAACACCATGTCTTTGTTCAGGTAGCGGATGGTCTTGCAGACGGGGCAGATGTCGTCGACAGACCCGTTCGTGGTGCCGCCAGTGGCAGCTGGGTCGACGACATCCATACTTCCTGAAGAGTATGCCACTGTTGCGGTCACTGGAACTCTTTGTAGAGGATTGTTTCGGAGGAGTTGGCCGATGGAAGAGGAAGACGTTAATCGACTATGCAGCTCGTGGCCGGTCAATCGAGAGTCGGCAACCGCTTGTACGTTCTCACGGCATTGGGTTAGAGCACACTCGACTTGATGTTATATGTGCTGCGCTCGTTTTTAGAGGATTCAAAGGACGCAGAAGGTCGAGCTACCGCCCTCGGACGTGATCGTGGTCGGCGACAGGTAGAAGCTGAAGTGGGAGTGAAGAAAGAATTCAGGCCTGGGAGCTTCTGAAGCTACATATACCAAGATTAGTCAGATTTTGGCAAGGCTGGACCTTTGTTCACAACTCAGTGCAAAGGGCAGCCGTGATTGGCTAGCGCCATGACTGATGGCGGGGGGAAGGCCCTAGAATCTCAATTGTAGGCGTTCGGCAGGGGCGCTTGGTGCACTAGGGCGGGGCGGGCAGGTGCATTTCGTCAGCCTTTCGACCTCCTTGGTCCCAATGTCAAAAGTCGCCCTGCTTTCTGACCTCCTGGTTTCACTCACGCGACTCTTTCTCTCGCCCACCGCACATACCTGGGAGATAACACACCATGGCTGACAATGGTACGTGCTTTATTTTTTCTGTCAACCCACTACGTCCCAACGGTCAACACGTACTAACGGGCACCAACAGAACCCACGCCCGCCGAGGAGGCAGCCGCCCGCGCCAAGGAGCAGCAGGAGCAGGATGCGCTGCCGTACAAGTGGACTCAGACCATTGGCGACCTGGATCTGACCGTGTCGATCCCAGGCAACCTCAAGGCACGCGATCTTGTTGTGGACATTAAGAAGACGGCGCTGTCGGTGGCCATCAAGGGACAGGAGCCGTTCGTCAAGGGCGATCTCTTCCAGGCGGTGCGGCTGGACGAGTCGACGTGGACGCTGTCGGCGAACTCGGACGGCACCAAGACGATCGAGGTGCACCTGGACAAGGTCAACAAGATGGAGTGGTGGCCGCACGTGGTGACAACGGCGCCCAAGATCGACGTGACGCGCATCCAGCCCGAGACGTCCAAGCTGTCGGACCTGGACGGGGCCACGCGCGGCATGGTGGAGAAGATGATGTTTGACCAGCAACAGAAGGAGAAGGGCCTGCCGACGTCAGATGAGCAGAAAAAACTTGACATTCTAAAGAAGTTCCAGGCGCAGCACCCAGAGATGGACTTTTCCAACGCCAAGATCAGCTAAGCAGTCAGAAGCGGATGCGGGGATACGTCAAAAAGACGTAAAATTTGCTAAGACTATGATATTGAATGAAGAAAAATAGCCATTTGAATTGCCGTAAGTTGGTAACGTCTGTGGAATATGATGCATAGTCTCACAATTCACAAAATATGAGGAATGCCTTGTTCTATGGAATGCCAAAAAAGTGTGCGAGACCGTTCCTACGGGTGTATGATGTGTTGCAAAAAAAAAAAAAAAAAAAAAAAAGAAGAAAAAGAAAAAGAAAAAGCCTCCAGAAATGCAAACATGCTTACATGTTACCCGGAACATGTTCCAACATATCCATCAACGCCATATCCTAGCCAGTAATGCGCCAAAAGAGCCTGGAAATTATACACAAATATTTTAAGACATAAACTGCTTGCCAAGTTTCGCAGCTTTGAACTTGCTGATGCGCGGACCGCCGTCATCTAATCCCACAGGCACGACGGCCGACTCGCTCGCCTGTAGAAACCCGCCCTGTTGCTGGATGAACCGATTGCGTGTCTTGTGGTATTCCGTAGCCGCCTCCTGCATCAGGATACCAGCATCCAGCTCGTGGGGCTCTCTGGGCTGCGTCACCGCCGTTCGCTCAATGACTTCGTCGACATGCGTCCTGCCTTCTGGGCCGTCCGGTGCGACTGTGCGGTCCTCGTCGAGGAACCGGACAGGAGCTTGGTGGGGGCCTTTTGGGAGACCGCCGTTAGCAGCGGCCGTGCCATCGACATCGCCACCCACACGGGCCTGTTTGAACCGGGAAACGCGCTTCGGTTTCTGCGTGGCATCACGTGCCGGCGGCGGCTGGGGAATTGTGCTGCTGGTGCCATTTTGTTTGCTCCCACGTTCTACGATGACCTCACTCATCGGGTCGACCACAGGCTGCGCATGCGCCTTGGCCTTGGCCTTGGCAACCACAGAGGCAGAGGCAGAGGCTAGGGATGCAGCCGGTGGTACGGTCTCCAATGGCGCAATGTCCACAGAACTGGCAAACGACACCTTCTTTGCATCGTTACCTGTGGCCTTGACCTTGGTGCGGAAATTCTCTGTCGGTTCTTTCAACACCGATGTTAGACTTGCAGGCGACTTGGGCGATTGCACGTCACCATTTGCATTTGCCGGGGCGCCGTTGGATGCATTGCCTACAGCCACCGCCGCAGCCTCAGCGAGGCCCGAAACACGAATCCGGCCCAGGCTCTCCGCAACGTCGTCCGTCGTTGCAGCAGCGGCACCTTCGGCCCCAGAAGCCGCTGACGGGGCCAAGGTGGATGAATGCTGCAGCGGAGCCACACCCAGCTTCCGCTCCAACTCCCGCATTCGCTCGCGGTATGTCTCGTCGATGACGCTGTACTTGGACCGACCGTGTTCATCCTCCGCGTCATCATCATCTTCGTCGTCATATTCTTCGTCGTAGAAGTCATCGTATCCCTCGTCGTCGTCAGACGTGCCCTCTTCTAGGTCGAGCTGTGCGACAATCGGTCCAATCTCGGATATACTGTACTCGAGCATCTCCCGGCGGAGGGCCGCCTCATCCGCCGGCTCGTCATCGGGTACAACCGACGTCGAGGCGTCAACAACAGACTCCTGGTCCTTTGCACTGCGCATAATGTTTTCCAGCCGTTGCGCCGCAAAGGAAGTAGGCTGTGGGAAGGAAGAGTAGGAATCGCCGGCCTTTGCATCCTCAGAGAAAGACACGGTTTTGCGAGCCGACGACGTGTTTGGTCCAAGTTTCGATGCTTGGGGCTTCTCTTTCGTCACGTCTTTCGTCTGCTGTAAAACCTCCGAGTCTTTTCGGTCAGCAGTGGTGTCTGTTGTCTTCTTCTTGGCCGCAGTGGGGCCACCAGGTGGAATTTCATCGATGCCGGCCTTCTTCAGCGCCTCCATCACCCGCTCTTGTGTGTCCGATGGCGTGTGTAGCTGCACGTCGGTCACGTTTCCATCCTCGTCCAGTTGCTCGACAATGTCCGTGACGGGGCCATCAAGGTCACCTCCATCGCCATGACCACCACCATCTTGTGCGTCCCGTTCGGTCTTGTCTTCGTCATCCAGCATCTCCGTCAGCCCGCCGAGCTGCAATGCCGACAGCTGCTTCACCACCACCTCCACCTTCTTTTCCAGGGTTTCTGTGTTTTGGTGCACATAGTCGAGTCGCCGGCCGATGGCGCTGGCAATATGGTCGGTGCTTCGAGTAATCGTCTGCCCCTGGCGGGCACCAAACAGGTCGCACACGGTCTGGTGGTCGACCAGCTGGCCGTCAAAGTCGCGGCGGATGCGCACGAGGGCAGCCTGCTGCGCTTGCTGTGTCGCCTTGTCGTCGCCGGCGACCTTTGCCCGGGCTTGGTTAACCTCGTCGGCGAGGGCCTCGTATTCGGCGCCGAGCAGGCGCCAGTGGTCAAGTGCCTTGCTCAACTTATTCATCTGTGTATCGAGTTGCGCCGCGCGGTCTTGGAGATTGGCAAGCAGGTCGTGCATCTGCGATAACGCCGAAGCCTGTGGCAACGGCGGTTGCGTTTGTTGTGACATTATGGTAGTGATATGAAGGAAAAAGGAAGAAAGGGGGAAAAGAAAAAAAAAAAAAAGGGGGGGGGGAAGGAGAAGAGGAAGACAAAATAGGCAGGTGAGGTTCAGTCGCGCAGCATTCATGAAGTCACTAAGCAAAGAGGCGACAAAGTGAGAAAGAGCACCCTGACAGAATCAGCAACTGTCGTCCCCCGCCCAAAAAAAAAGGTGGTCCGATAAGAGATAACAATCACGTGTGCGCGTATGCTCTAATTGCGTTCGCAAGACCACTCTACATTGTAAACTGCACGTGGAGAACGCCGGAGAGTGACAGACAGCGGTCGAGTAAACCTCGGTTTACGAAGAGTGGAGTCCTGCACGGAACCTGAGCCATGATCTCCGATCGCCGTCGCCAAGCGATGCCTCCGTTTCCAATTGCTTCGTTCACTCAGGGTTATTTACTCTTGCGTCGCGCATGTGAGAACGAACTGCGTAAAATTGGGCCAAAGAGGGTATTCCAGCTGCTCGCTTACACACACAGCTGTCGAACAGAAACCCTGGCGACTGACGCCATTTCAACTGCATGCGACGGCCTTCTTGCTCACTGCTGTGCCAACATCCTCCTTGACAGCCTGTCGGCCTCATAACACACTCGTCTTTCCAATAGTCCTCCTACGCCTCCTCCTACTGCCAGTCCTCCCGTTCCTCTTCTCTCTCTCCCTCACATCTTTTCACAATGTCCCAAAAAACACCATCGTCAACTGCATCGGACTCCAACACGCCTGGCGATATCTATGAGCTCCAGGGCCGCCCCGACGCCATCGCCGAGGCCGAATACTTCCTGAGTGTCCCGTGGTGCCGTGCCCACCTCAAGCCTGCCGAAGGCCGCCCAAAAGGAAGTGCTGCGACCAAGGAGATCCGTATCGTGCAGCCAGGCTCACGTCGCCGTGTCAAGCCTGCCCTCAACGCCGACGGCTCCTTTACAAGCAGCACCAAGACAATTGACAATGCCTTTTCCACAACATTACACACACGTGACACGATTGGCGCCTTTATCATCTTTTATGAAGAGCCATCCATACCGGCGTCGGCTGGCGTCAGCCCCGGGTACCGGCCGCCCATTCTCGAGCTCAAAGCCCTGATGAGCATTGGCCCAGGTATCAACGGCCACATTGGCGTGGCGCACGGCGGCATCGTGGCCACCATCCTTGACGAGGTGCTAGGCCTACTGATGCCGCTGAACCTGGCGCGCGACAGACACAATAAGCGCATCGGCGCCACGGCGCCGCCACTGCCCGCATCGACCGACCCCAACGGCCCCGAAGCAGCCGCCGTGTCGTCAGCTACCGTCACCAGTGGCTTCGTCACAGGCTATCTAAACATCACGTACTCGCGTCCTGTCCGCACTCCGGCGGACATTTTAGTGACGGCGCGGTTCGTCCGCAAGGAAGGGACACGCAAGTACTTTCTCGAGGGCTCCATATGGGACGGCAAGTCTCAGTTGCTGGCCAAGGCGGACCTTTTGTTCATTGCACTGAAGGAAAGACTATAACAGGTATAATTCGGGCTTGGGCTGCGCAGACCTCATTGCACCAAAATACGGAGTAGAATTAGAAGGGCGTTATGAGTGGAGGACACCTCTCTAGCCGCGCCTACCATGTCATGACATCTGGTAGAACATTAGCATATTCTGAGAACTGCACGATATACATAGATATCCAATTTCATACTCATTGGTAACGCTATCATAATTCTTGTAAATCCAAAAGGCCGCCTCTGAGGCCGCTTTGCGCGAGCCTGTACCACCCCTGCTATGTTTGATTACTTTAGAGAATAAGAAATGGCAAGTGAAGTAGACACGGATATAAAGAGTCAGTGCATGGTAATGACAGGAAAGGGAACAAATGAAATACATGTAAACAAGGTATCAAAACATTGCAGGGGAATAAAGGAGCGAAATAGGTTAAAACCAAAGACACGCTATGCTGTCGTATATACCAAAATAGAAAAAGGGAGAAAAATAGGGAGGGGGGGATATGAAAGGAGCGGCTGTGGGAATCATGTGTTGGTGATAGTAGATGCGATGAGGGGTATCTTCTTGGCTTTTTGTTTACGCTTGCATATCTTCCAAAAGTTATGTTGCGGATGCACTGCCATGTAGTTGTGGAGGCAAAGCCGCGGTGTAATCACTTGATCCGCTTTCCATCCAGGAACTTGGGGCTCTTGGTGTCGTAGTACAAGTTGCGCTCTTGCGTCTGTCTGCGCTGGTCAAAAGTGACGCGTTCATCTTCATCAAGTGTGAAGGCCTTTTTCAGCCAACCAAAGGCACTGCGCTTCTTCTTCAATACCGGCTGGCCCTTGGAGTCCTGCGTCATCGTCGTCACGCTACTAAGCATGCTCATACCCATCGAAGATGGAGCATTGCGTAGGTGGTAGGGCCGCGACGGGACCTGGCCGGCCGTGTGCGGGCGCTGTTGCAAAGGCGAGTGCGGACTTGCCTGAACAGGGCGGAAATACTGCTGATCTGAGTGAGGCGAGGGAATAACGTTCGGGATGGCGGGCGGTGAGTAGTCGTGGCCTGCACCGCCTACATTAGTTGGCGTCGCGTCGGTGACCTGCACGCTGGCCGTGCGTTCCATGTCGGAGCTGTAGGCCGAATCTGGGCCCGTAAACGTGCTGTAATTTTGATAGGTCCGCGGTGATGCAAAGACAGGGCGGTGCAGCTGTGGTGCGTTGGGCGGTGGCACCAAAATAGCGTCCGGTGGAGTCGTACGAAGAGACACGCGTTCACGGATGGACGTCTTTTTCTTAGGGATGCCTTTGTTGAACTCCGCGTCAATGGTCCTGTCGGAGGAAACCGAATCCGCAGGCGAAATAACGCTTGAGGACTGCCTCGACAATGTGGAGTGATTATCGCCGTGCGATCCGCTGGACAATGGCGCTGTGGTACTTCTGTAGCTCAGGCGCTCTTCAACAGGGGGGATGAACAGCCGCGGCGACGGCACCTCAGCACGAGAGCGTGGTTGTGACAGTGTGAGATCCGGGCTGGAGATGTTTCGACCACTCTCGGGAACACTGGGTGAGGGCAGCGGAGACGCTGTCGGCGTATAGATCTTAGGTTGCAAGATATAGAGGGGTTCGTCGTCTATTGTCTCCTTCTGCGGCGAGAGAGATCCGGTTGGGCTACCAACAGCTCCTTCTAATGCTGCAGTTTCGTCCCTGTCTTGGTCGACTGTGACGCGCAGCGGGATTGGCATAAGATCGTGTTCGGAAGACGATGTGGCTGGAGCATCCTTGACGACAGTCGAATTTGATTTGATCGTCACAGCATCAGCATCTTGGCTGTTCGATTCTGCCGCAGGCTCATCTGACCTGCTTGTTGCTTGTTGTGTCTCGACGGGAACCTCAATGGGATTTTGAACCGTGGATTTTCCGGAGCCTAGTAGTTGTTCGCTTGACACATCTGCTGGCGGTGTATACTGAAACGAAGGGACCAGCGTGGCAGCAGCAGTGGCGTTGTTGCTGTTGCTGTTGTTGTTGTTGTTGTTGTTGTTGCTGCTGCTGACTGTGCCTAGTTCCAGAAAGTTGGGTGCCATTATATCACCGAGCGCACTGAACCGAAGAGAGAGGCGAGGCGGCATTGGGGTCACATTAATACCAGGAGACAAAGGTGGCGTCGCTTCGTAGGACACCCTAAATGATGTATCCTGTGACTCTTGAGACTCTTGCGACTCTTGTGATACACGACTGGTGAGCTCTGGTAGCGTGTACGGCTTGACGCTGAACTGTGACGAAAATTCAGTTAGTATGGGAAGTCAATAAATACAAATTGGAAATTGTCTCAAAATGCAATAAAAAAATCTCATGAGACAGGGCAGGGTGGCAACATACTCGTGTTCGGCGGCTGACTTCACCGGCGCACCGATCCATCTCAGTCACCATATCGGCCAGCTTGGAAATCAAAAGATCCAACGTATTGGTTTTCTCCTCCAGGTCGGCAAACGCATTCAGCCAGCCCTCGGCGTTTCCGCGCATGGCCTCAAAAATCTCGACCACCTCGGCTGGCCGCTCGTGACGCCATGAACCATTTTCTTCCTTGGTCAAGTAGGCGGTAAACTCTTTTGTGGACCGTAGGCCTTCCGAGACATCCTGGATCGTCTGCACCAGGGCGGTCGTCGTCCGCGACAAGATGTGCTCAATGCGGACGTTGCCCTCGACAATACGAAGACGAAACTCGCGGTCCTCTAGCATTTCCTCAAACGCAGGCAGATTTCCTAGTGGCAGCTTGAGGTAGTCGAGGCGGGTGTTGAGATCCTGCGTCGCCAATTTCAGGTCCTCCATGGCGGTCTTCAGAAAGTCGTCCACCTCGTCGATGTGGCCCTGCAAGATTGCGACGACCTGGGCATCGCTGTTGGCCATGCCCTTGAGCAACAGGTACACACCAAATGCAATTTGGGCCAAAAGCTTGCGCAGCTCGTGGCAGTTCTGGGCCGGGCGCATGCGCCACAAGGCGGCGGGAGGACCTTCGGTCTTGTCCTGATCGAGAAGGCGATCGCGGCGAATCTGTGGCGTGTCGACCCGCAGTTTTGGCTTCATAGAGAGAGTGCCGGATGAGACTTCGGCAAGTGATTCGGCAAACGCTTCCTGCATGGTCGGGATCGGGTGTCGTGGGATCGGGGGTTTCTTTGGCCGTCTGCGGGGCGTAGCTTCTGCCGGATTTTGGGTTTGGTCAGGTACAGGCGACGCAGCAGATGCCGAACGCGCGGACTGAGGTTGAAGGGAAGACAAGCGCACAGCAAGCTGGGCATTTTGGCCGTTCTGGCGCAAGGATGCCGCTGCCTCGGTTGCTGTGGACGTCATCGTGTCGAGTCTCAATCCGCTCAGCGACAAGTGAACAGAACAGGGCCGATTTGGCCGGTCGGCTACACCGACAAAAACAGCGTACAACCAATGCCGTGGTATTAAGTTTCCACCCAATGGCCAGCCACTTGTGGTCTGCGCTAGCTTGCAGACAAAACGCAAGATCAGTGCAACCGACGGAAGTCGGATGCCACAGCTGATATGTCAGTAAACAGGGGGAGGAGCCCAGCTGATTGGGCCGTGTAGAACGTGGTCAGAACCAAGTCGTATAAATGTGCAGAGTAGCACGACGTGCAAACCAACGTCCAGTCAACACAGTGGCAGGCACTCCGGCCCTAACGCTGAGGCTGGTTTAACGTGCAGGAGACGTTGACCAAGGCCACGTAGTAAGAAGTGTCAAGTTGTCAGGAGCTGTGTGCCAAAGGCATGGCGGAAGTGCAATCCAGATTGGGATAGAAAACCCAGGTCCGGATTCGTCGAGAGCGAGCGAGGTGACAAAGGTAACAGGAGGGCGAGAGTCTATATCGACGAAGCCAGTCACAAAAACGGCCCGAGGAAATGGCCAGGGCAAAAGCACTGGTATGAGATCGTAGTTGACAAGTATGATAGCGATGATAGCTAGATCGGCAAGCAGTCGGATTCGACGTGGGATGCAACAGCCGAGTTCGACAAAGTTATTCCTTGCTAGGAGTGAGCAAGAACGGTGTAATTGTATCCAATAAGACCGAAGCCGTGTTCAGACGGAGCCGTCGAGTTGCGAACACGCGTTGTTGGTTGGTTGCGAGGGAGGAGAGGAGGCGAACTGCAAAGGGAGGGCAAGCTAGGCAACGTACGTCCAGGTGGGAGAACAAAGGAACGAAATCGAGCCGTAGACGCTCTGTTGAGACGGCCTTGCTATGGAGCCGAGCCGGACAGCAAGGGATATGAGACGAAGGGGGTCGAGGCGAAGGTAAGAGAGATAAAGGATAAACAACGTCAGCAGAGAAGTAGATAGGCCAAAACAGATGCCAGAAGGAAGGAGATGCAGCGACGTGAGGCGAAGGGAACAAAACAAAAACAATGAGAAATCAAGACACGAAGGAAGTGTCAACAGGGCCGTTTGGTAAGACGTGAAAGGGAAAAGCAGGGACGGCGGTGCGTTACAAGAAATGAGGGCGAGAGAGACCAAGAGGTAGAGGACCCTGCGAGATGAGAGATTGCTTTCCGGAGGGTTTAGTTTGGGGGCTAGGGGGCCATGGGGGACGGAGAGGACCAGACGTGAAAGAACAGGAGGGAAAGGAGAGGCCTAGGGCGAAAATGCAGGCGATCGAGCAGCAGGAAGAGGACCGGACCAAGGGGAGATAAAATCGTTAGCGTGAATACAGTAGCGTGATAATGTCTCTCTGCATTGCTACGTAATAGGAAAGATACTTTACTTTGTAGGGAATCGAAAAAAAGAGAAAGCGCAACCGGCCAGCTGAAAGAGGAAATAGGGAAATAGGAAACGCGCTAATCATCTAATCACAACGTAGAAAGAGCCAGTTCCTACGGCAGGTGCAGATGTATTGGCACATTGCAGGTGCGGTGATCGAGGGGTAAACCCAGGAAGGCTGGCTGCAGCAGGTAATGCACATTTGCATCCATACCATTCGAACAGGGGAAGAGCAGAAGAGGGATGCGTGAGGCGTGAGGATGTGTAAGAGGATATTAAAAATGAGTGAAGGAAAGGGGTCGGACGGAACCGAATGCGGGCGACAAAATAAATGCCTAGGAAACAAAGCCTATACTGTGGAGAGAGTGTTGTGAAGGTGCAGGAGACACAGGGGGCAGGTCAGCAAAGGAGACAGACGCAGGAACGAACCACAATTGTCCCATTAGTTTCAACATTTGGGTTGCTTCCAGGGCCGTAGAGAGGAGGCGGCGCAGCAAAGAAGGAAGGGGAAGGAAGGACGGCGCGTGCAGTAGTAGCAGCTCCAGTGAAGGATATCAGAAAAGCCGAAACCATCTCGTTCTTGTGTCGACAAAAGGACAGCGGAAGTGCACGACACATTTACAATATCTTACGAGAGAGATAGACAGTGAACAAATAGAGAGCAAAGGCCCAAGAGTTTGCAAGCCCACAGGGCCGAGTGGCCATGAGAGTCAATGGGGCCGTTGTTGGTGTAACAGATTCTCCGGCTATGGGTCTTTGGAAGGAGAAAGTCCCTGGGCATATTGGGCGGGGGGAAGGGGGGAAGGCGGGTGCATTGTGACTTTCGTCGCGGATTAGGCGCGTTGCTTGAGCCACGGACGTTGCTTCCGGGAAGCTGTGCATGTACGAAAGTGTTCAGTGCTTATGTTGAAAGTATCATACAACATGTACAGCAATGGAAGGCTATCCCACAGTACTTCGTACGCTGCAGCTCCTGCGGCAGGCGGATCCGTCTTGATGCACATCAAGATGCTCCCTTCCCTTCCCACAGCATCACATCACATCCCTTTTCGGCTGTGCATGCTGGGACCCTGGCTTGAAACGAAACAAATAGCGAGCAAACGAGGGCAGGGGGGATAAACACGAAGGTTGAAACGAAAGAGCTTCTGGTCGATTTGACTATTTTTGTCGATCGACCAGGAAAAGCTGCGTGGTAGAAGGGTGGCGAGGGTGGGGAAAGCTTCACACAACTGCTTGATGGTCTGTGATCTTCGGTGATGTTTTGGGCTTCGCTTCAGTGAAGTCGAACAGAGAAGTAAAGCGAGCAGTGGTTTGTCTTTGCAGCGTCTGGACGTTCTTACAATTCTCCGTGTTCTGTTTTTTTTAAAGAAAAAAAATTAATAATGATAATAATAAAGCTCGGTATGCAAACTACGGCAAATCGACGCGGTCAAACAGAGCGAACATCGCGCCGTCCCTTCGGTTTGTGGCAAAAGAGCTTCGGGCATTTCTCAGTAACTTTAAGCCAAGGAATATGTGCAAGCTGAAATGGCCCGTTAGGATTTGGAGATGTGCTGCAGGACTGAACATCGGACGACATCGTGTCACCGTCTTCGACGCCAGTCGCTCCTTCTTCATCAAATACACATACCTTAGCGTGTCGTGCCATTTTGGTACAGTGGCTGGGTGGGTGCCAGGTAAGTGCAAAGCTCTAAAAAGAAGGAGCTCTGAGATGAGCAGGGGCCAGCGTCGCCGCTCAGAACAAGAAAAAAGCACCGTGAAAAAGCGGATGAACAGGGGCCAGGGGTCGACGGTAAGGGGTAAGGCAGGGGTGGAGTGCGCTCCGAGAGAATCTGGGCGTGCAGGATGAACGCACAACACGGGAAAGAACTGGGCCCAGAATGCGTACCCGGTTTTGGAAGGAGCGGCCCAGGATCAACAGAACATGCAGAGGAGCTGCTGGGCATGAAAAGAAAACACAAAGAAAATGTAGCGCAATCTAGACCCCAGCAGCCCTCTTGTGTTGCATAGAACCGTTATATTGTTTGCACGTGCGTGTACGGGCGGGCGCATCTGCCCACGTCGATTTAATCAATTTCTAGGCCGTGTTGAGTGGCCAGGTGACATGATTACCGATGCAAAAGACACGAAGTGCATCGGCCATTGTGAAAATTGGGTGCGCCGGTTTTGGGTAATCAGAACAGCAATGATTGTGCAAAGTATCATTGCCTAGCCAAACAGTCAATCAATGGCCTTTCTAAACGTATCTCGCCGTTTCGAATCAGGACAGACCCGCCCGGGGGTGGCAGTGTCAGCAGGGGGCAACGCGACGAGGGAGCGATTCGCGATACTGACCAGGCAAGCTATGATCAACTGGAATAGCTGTCTGTCATACCCAGTATGCAGTGCAAGGTCAGCGTCGACAGAAACACGCCAGGTTAGTGACAAGAGAACGATCCCCAAAGAAATGGAGAAAGTGGGAAGCTCTGGGAGTGTAAATAACCCTTGCCTGCCACATAATTATCTGGTATTTTATCGAATCCTTCCGGTAGTGTAGGAAGGCTATTTAATTCACTCCGCACGGCTGTATCCCCGTTTTAATTCAGAGCACCTGACGAGTGCGGGTACTTTCAAACCCGTTTTTTATTTCTCGGCTCATGTTTCTCGTTTCTATTCTGTACCGTTCAGTGCCTTGACATGCCGCACCAGGTCTCTTGCTGCAGATTGGTAACGATGGCCCGTTTATGGGAAGGGGAAATCGAACGCGAATAGGGCCAATATGCTCACCAGGTATCGTACATAACGTGACAGAGACCAGGAGCAACAGGGATTGAGAGGCTTAGCCAAAACTTTCCGCACTTGTTTGCCAGACGTTTTCCTTCTTTTTGTTTCTCATCCCCAAAGCGTTGGCACTTTAATTGTTATAATACAGTTATTAAGACGCCTGGTGGTGTCATTCTCGTTCACTTTAACCCTTTTTTGTTTGGTCCTCTGTCTTGTTTCTCACTCGCAGGTTTGTATGCACAGTGGAATAACCTCATTTAAATACCCTTAGTCCGGCCTACATAAGACGCCAGCAAACAGCCGATACAACCAGACAAGAGTAGCAAAATGCATTTTGCAACTGCAAAGGTGGCATTCGTACGTCGTGCACATCGGCGTTACAACGATGGCTACAGCCGAGATTACAGTCACAAAAAAAAAGGAGTTGATGCGGGAATACCAAAGGCAGGAGCCAACTGATCGTGTTCATTCAAAACAACACAAAAAAGCATTCAAAATTCTCCACTCATTTTCTTTTGTCGTTCGTTTCTTGTTCAACAGCCAACCGTGTCATCCAGCGTCCTCCAGTTTGGCCCTTTATCAACGGTTTGCGTCGACTTGTTTTTAAAGAGAGTGGCCAGGACATTGCCCCAGTTGAGATCCAAGCTTCATGCTAAAGAAGATTAAAGTCATGGGAAAAGATTCTAGAAGAACCCGAATCGCGCTCGGTTGAGAACAAAAAGGAAGCTGCTCGGAAGCCGACGGTCATTCATCCGCAGCGCGAGATGTATCAGTCCTACAATCTAATTGCCTTCTGCCGTTCAAGACAAGGGAGCGGTATCACGACATTAATACTTGGAGCATAAAACAAACCACAATCTTCATTCGTATCGCCACAAATTCTTCAGCCTTCTCAACCCCAGTGCTTCTTTATTTAGAATGTCGTGGCTACAATATGAAACAGAAGCGAGTCTTGCGCAGCGGGACCTATTACAGGGAAAGGCGATCAGGGTTTCTAACGTGTTAATGTGCGTTCTTCGTCCTTGCTCGACTTGGCCCGACTGGGTAAGTCAACAAACAGCCTTACCTCGAAACAGCCTCGTTTCGTGTTTCACGATGCAAACGACGGACGATGGATAGACCCGCGTTTTACATTATTCTGGGTTAAGGGCGGACCACCTACGATCTCTAATCGGAGCCATCCTACAAAAACCTCACAGTACTTGCTTGTTTTTTTTCTAGTCGTGTCATTTTTTCTTGGCCAATTTAATTCCTTTCCATCTTATGATCATTCACGCCACAATAATGTGGTTTCAGACCCACCAATGGAGTTTTTATTTCTTAAAAAAAATCCCAATATTAGTACCCCATTGTGCAATTGTATGAGAGTCTGAGTCTTTTTATATCACAAGCAGAGCCACCAATGTTTCATCGACTCTTTGCAATTGACTCTTCTCGCTGGGTCGATACTCATTTCAGATGAAGAGGCTCATTGTCTGCAGTATTTATTTTTGTATTTGGTTTCTTTTTTTGGACGACCATGAAACAGCAGGTTACAGCTTTGCTACGGTGGCGGTGTCTGGGGAGGGGAGACACCGAAAATTAAATTAATGAATGGCAGAGGACAGACCAGGTCACGACTTACAATGTCCTCACATCAATTTGTATGTCGTACAAAGTCGAAATTCAGTAACACGACGCATGGTCATCCATTCTCACACTTTCTGTTCCACGGTTGTTATTATCACAGAAGACGACAAACGTCACAAGAGAGCACAGACAGGCCAAGCTCTTAACTTATTCCGTCTAAGTCACACAACGCAAGACCATGACATAGAGACGAAGTTAGTGTCTCAAAACTCTTGAGGTGCTAAAAGACTTGGAAGCAGAGCACTGGGGACTCTTTGTACAGCTGGTGAAAAGTTGCATTAGAAACAAATGTCCACGTGCTCTTATATTCTTGCAGGTACATAGCCGAGTACCGATGGGAGCAGACTGGGGAGCAGACTCGGGAAGTAGTCACGCCTTTTGAACTACGGCGCAGTATTCTTTGTCTCTATATTTTTTTGTTACAAACGACACTTTATACCCTATCAATCAAGCAAGGATGAGGAATTCATAGCGGCCCAAAATCTACTAGACGAAGAAATTGTCTAGAAATTACAGATTATAAAGTTAAAGGCCATGCATATTATATCATGAGGAGGTCTTGCAGTTGTTAGATGTATTGATATTGGTCGTTATACATACGACTTTTGCGAAAGGAGCTCACTACCTCACTGCCTGCACTACTGTGGATTTACCTAGCTACTCATAACATGGTCAATGTAGCACGGCCGGTTTATGACTGTTTAATTGATATTTGTTTTCCGCATGAGACGGTATTTTGTATGCTTGGTTCTATTGAAAATATTATTGTCCTTGACTTACCTTTCAATAATATTTTTTTTAAAAAAAAATGGTAATTAAACAGACTATAAGAATATCACAACTGGAGAATATATCCGTACAAAGTAAAACAACACAGAAATAAAAAGTAGAAATAAAGCCACAAATCACCAAATGACAGAGGAGGACCGAATAGACACGAAAGAAAAGAAAACAATAGGCAACCTTCCGAATTCTCTGGGTTGTTGACCACTGCAGGCTTGTAGTGGGCGGATTCAAACAGAAGCCAAAACTCAATCCTCCCAGATTCTGCCACTACACACCGCCCTGATTTTAGCTGAACAAGGCTGTCGCGATTCAAAGCCACGCTTTTTGGCGTAAACCTTTAACCAACACATCTGATGCCGACATCCCCTCACATCGCAGCCATGCCCTACATTACAAGTGTACACGAGTCGTTACCCTGTACGTCCACACTACGCAGCCCGCCCAATCTGTCGCCACTTGGCGATTGCTAACGCCCGCCCCATGTAGACGTCGACCCTGAACCAACACCAGAGCAGCGCGCCGCTGCCGAGGCCCTTGTCGCCCAAGAGCGCACCACCGTTCCCGACGATCCTCACCATGCTCTCCTGCGCCCCCCCTACGAGTCGAAACTGACGCCCGCCATGCAGGCGGAGGTAGCCCGCGTTGCCGCCAACCAGAGCGCCGAGGCCAAGGATGACAAGAAGAAGCAGACACAGCTCTCCGCCATAGACCTGTCCCGGTACGAGGTAGATGACGACGACGACGACGACAATGAAGTGGCGACCACCTCGGATGCAGCCGCTCTCCGCACACGACTGACCCGCGCCTACACCAGCCAGACGTACTTGCGTGGCCGCCGTGCCCACTTGGCGTTGCTCGACAGCTACGGCAAAAATGCGTGGCTCGTCGGCAACTGGCAGACCGAGGCGGACCTTCGTGCGCTCGAGGCAGACCTGGCCGCGACGCGGAAAGACATCGATCTTGTCACGCTACGGCGGCAGCGCGCACAGAACGAGGCCGCAGGTGAGCTGCGAAGCTTGGACGAGACGTGGCGGACTGGCGTTGGCCGTGTCCTGGAAACAGAGGCCGCGGCCGAGGAGCTGCGGTTACGGATTCTGGACGCGCGTCGGCAGCGAGCCGAAAATGGCGAGGACGTCTAGTAGGAGAGGGAGAAGGAAAGAGAGTGAGAGAGAGAGGGAGAGAGCGTGTCTAACGAAGACTGGTCATATCATGCTGTGTGTATGGAAAGGCGCCTGGCGTTGTGAGTTTTGAATACCAGTATTGAGCACTGTTTTTATCTTTTTGCTACGGACGACACAGTGAAGCGATTATAAACGCTGCTATAGTGCAGCGCTTTTGGCGCATGAATCAAATATCGTAACAGCCTGCCTCAACTAGAAACTTACGATGTCGTGAAAGAGAGGACGAGAGGAACATGATCGTATTGCAAAAGAAGATGAAACAACAATAGGAGTCCCGAACGCCACCACCGTCGCCATCCCTCAAACTAAGGACGTCCTCCTTAAGGGTGTTACACTATGTCCTTGAAAGGTACTGGGCCCTATGGGGTGTTTGTGGAGTGAAACGTGTTGTAAATATGGAGAGATTCTCCAAAAAAGAGGCAAGGGACGAAGAAACAGATACGATAGTATCTCGAAAGAGAAACAAACCAAACAAACTGCAAATTAATAAAATAAAAGGAGACGAAAACTGTTAGGCATGATAAAAAAACACAAAAAAATCATCGAGTAATGACCAAATCCGCCTCCGGATTCCACTTTACCGTTGACCATAATTTGTTCCTTGACGGTCGTAAGATACCGCTGTAGATATTTGGCACATGTATCAAAATCAAGCAAACAATCTTAGGAAGTCTGCAGAGGATCCAGGTCCTCAACACCAGTCTTGACGCCCTCGTATCTTGTCCGGCGCATAATACCTTCAACAGGACCCAATAGCCGCTGGAAGGCAGATTTACCCAGCGTCGCGACCTTGATGTCGGTCTTGGCAACAATCGTCGCCGCACGGGGAGCGTCATTGAGCAGCGCAAGCTCGCCAAAGAAGTCGCCCTTTTGGTAGTGCTTCACCGGGCTCTCGGTACCAGACTTATAGACCGTGGCCTCGCCGCTCTCCACCAGGTAGAAAGAGTGCCCCAGATCACCCTCGCGGATGATAGTAGCGCCAGCTGCAAACTTTTGTGTTTCGAGGGCGTCGGCAATCTTGGAGCGTTCATAGGGCGTCAAGGTAGCCAGAAGCGGCACTTCCTCGAGGAAGCTTTCGTACATGCGACGGCGTGCAAACGTCGACTCCATCAGGATGCGCCGGAATGTTAAGCGGTCAAGTGCCCATAGCGTGCATGCAGGTTCTGCAGAGATGACTGTGGCTGCACGAGGTGCGTTGTACATGAGGGCCAGCTCGCCAAACGAACCTCCGGCCGCGATCGTATCCACCTTTGTACCGAGACCCTCAGGCCCGGATTGAAGGGTGCCGGAGCTGTTGACATAAGCGTCGAAGCTGCCTTTCTCGACCACGTAAAAGAAGTCGCCCGAATCCCCTTGAGTGATGACCTGACGCAAAAAAGTTTAGCAATCTGCACTTTGACTCTTGACACCGGCCCAAAGGGGAATTCAACCGTCGCTTACCTTGATGCCTTTTGTCGGAATTGGCTTTTCCATCAGAGCACCTAGAATCTGCGCAGACTGCTCTTCATCCAGGTGGCTGAAGAGGAAGTTCCCCTGGATGGCAGCCTTCAGGCGCTCGAGCTGCTCGGCTGACTTCTGGTGCACCGGCGGCGACCAGTTGTCGTATGAGTCGGTTACCGGTTTTAGAGACTCTGCGGACACAGATGTACGCCGTCCGAAGTTGTATTGTGCGGGGTACTCGCCGGGCGGGGGCGAGCGGCCGAAGTTCTGCGAGAAGTCCGACGAGGAGTCTGCTGGAAAAAGGGCGCGGGACGGACCGCCGACGGCGCCGGACTTGAGGGCAAAGGGTGACGTTGGCGACGAAACGATATCGTTCTCGTCCTCCTCAATAACTTGCTGCATAGACCCTGCGTTATCTGGAGCCCTCCTTGAATCCGCCGACGGAGGACCGAACGGGTTTGAGTTGGCCGCAAAAGGGCTTGTGAAGCCTCCGCCAGACATGGCTAAAATATGAGAGAACTGGAGAGATGGCGATCGTGTCGTCGATATCGTAATGTTCGGTGAGGTAAGGTCGGAGTATTGCAGGGAAAATGAAGGCGCTGGTGGATAATTTGAAAAAGACAAAGCCTTTAAACGGAGGTACAATTTGTCGTGGAATCTGAGATATGGCCCGACGAAATCGTAAGGGAGATAGAACACAGGCGTACGTTCCACGTGGATTAGGCGTGTCCGAGTCTGTTGCTTGTAGCATTTGTTAGTGTGCACAATTGGAAGACTAGACAAGACCACACATTCATTAGATGTCGTGGCAATGCGAATGTGATGTTGTGCTCTTGTGCGCGGCGTCTATGTTTTGAGTGTGCTTGCGGCTATTTTGGAGGAAAAACGGAGGGTTGGTGGACAGAGCTGTCAAACAGAAGCAATTGGTCTGTGTTGAGCGAACTTTGTTACAGCAATTGCCCGGGTTCACAGCCCCTTTCTGCCCCTTCCTTGCACGATATCGATAACGTAGTGAGGGAAAGATGACAGAGGAGAGCGTGTCAACATGCTGTGCATGGGACCCAGGGCTTGAGGCTTTTCGTTGCGCCTTTTCTTGAAAACGACTGCTGGTGATACGAAGATGGGCCTTGGGGAGACTGGGATGGGAAGTAATGCATAATAACAAGCAGGAGTTGAGCAATCGGCGAGGTGACGATAAGAAAAGATTGGAACGCACAGGTTCGGCTATAGCCAGAGCTTGTGAAGGACAAGGACAGCTCAGCTCAGCAGAAACGAAGCCTGGGAGATGTTTGATGATGCTCGACGGTGAGGAAGATGGCAAAGCAGTTTCCGTCCACAACTGAGCTTGTAGCGAAACAATTTGGTCAACCTGTGAATGCGGAGGCGTGACGCAGCTGTAGAGGGACGACGAGCTGGCGATGTAGCGGACGGTGGAGACGAGGGAATGGGAATAGAAAGAGAGATTGGGAATGGTTTATGATGTCGTCTGGTTTGGTGGCGACAAATGAGGGGTGGAGGTGGTGAATTAGGTTGTGGAGTAGGGTATGGGCGACAAGCACGAAGACGGACGGTGGATGACAAGAAACAGAAGGAGCCAGGAAAGACAGAAAGAGGCTTTGAATGTAGTAGCTTACCTGGTGGAGGGGTGCGATAGTGCTGGAATGCTCGAACTTGTTGCTTATCTGCGGGCAAATCAATCCGCCTTTGTTATGTCGTTCTTTCCTGTCTGGGCGGCCTTGCTGCCTCCTGTCTTTGTTCTCACAACCCAGCAAGTGGGGTTGTTTGATCAAAACACAAAATGGAGAAAGAGCGATGAGGAAAGACGGCACGAAAAGGGGCGGCAGGAGAGGCACGCAATAAGAGCATGCGTTGATTGTATCGATGGCAGACTTGTAATGTAGGATGACAGCTCAGACAGCAGCGAAAAAGAAAGAAGAAAGGGAGAGTCGAAGATGGAAGGATAGAAGCTTTGGGCAAGGGGAAACCATAGAACAAGAGCAGCTGGGAAGCTGGGAAAAGAAAGCAGAAGGGGGGCGGAAGCCAGGGGAAAAAAGACCCAGAAAAACAAGGAGAAAAGAGGTAGGAGCGCTGGTGGGAGCAGCGCAAGGCAAAAGTGCCAGTTTGCAACAGTGTTGCTTCCTGATGAGGTTGCTGAACGGCAGCAGTGTGTGTAGTGCACGTCTGGGGCCACTTCGAAACGTACGTCGAAGAAGCAGCGCAGCGGCGGGTTAACAGCCCCTCACCCAAGCTCGCAATCCAAGGGGCCAGTCAGCGACGCTGGAACCGTTCTAGAAGGCGCACGGGCCACCATGCGGCACCGCCCCTCTTCCGCAAGTGGAAGGACTGGAACGACAGAAAAAAGCTTCTGGAGCTTCTGTGCAGCCGGCATTCCACACTACCCATCTGGGCAGAAACAAGATTGAGTGCGCGAACGGGGAAGGAGGGTCGGATCGCCTATGGGCAATATGTAAGACAGGTGAAGCGAGCCCATTTTGAAATCGGGCACAGCTGGCACTGGTGGGCCTCTCTCGCTCCTTCTTTACACATTCCCAAGGACGCTCTTTCCTTTCCTTTCGGTTTAATATGCATCAAAGCGAATGTCCGTGTCGGGAATGACCTTACTGCGACAGCCCCCTGTGGAGTCACGCAACGGATGCACCACTGCGTCTTGGAAGCCGGGCAGGAGGCAGGCTCCCTTTCTTGCAGCTAAGACGTGCTTGGACTTGGATGCACGCGCGGACTGATCGCCACTACGCGTTAATCCCTTGCGTCTCCGCCGGGGTCACATTGCGTCTCTTTCAAAATAGTCGCTCGAGCTTTTTGTGTCGCTGTTTAGCCATTCTAGCTGGCATGCATGTCTCTGCCTATCATTACGTTAGGACTTGTCCCTGATTACTTGTTATCTGTCAAATTTCCCTGTTGCCTGACGTTGTTACCAGCCTCGCATCTTACGTAGGCTGGTCTCTGTGGTTGCCCGAAATAGAATATCACGTGACCAGACCCACACCTGTTTCGTATGCTGTGGGATCAAATGCGAGACGCGCTGTGGCTGAGCCTAGCCAACTAACTAACGCCACGGGCTAAGTTTCTACCTCCTGGAATTCTGCCACTGCGCCCGTCATCTGTAGCAGAGTTGCCAGCAAAGGGGGCAACAGCAAAGCAGCCAGCCATCATCCAACAAAAAACAGGGCGATGCAAACTCGACCTACGTCTTGCCACGACGCGACATCTGCACTTCTTTGACAGACGGCAGAAACAACACAGCGAGGATAGGGACATAAGAAGAGATACTGAACGACGCAAATTGCAAATCGACGTCTAAAGGATGGCGCCCCGCGACGATGAGCCGGCCGATCTGGGCCACCCGGACTCGATTACCTCCGAGAGCGACTCGAAGCACGCCGAGAAGAAGAAGAGCAAGAGACCTGCAAGTACGTGAAACGTCCTCGGAAGAGGGAATGTGGATTCCGGAGATGCCGGGCGCGTTCTTGCGCGTTTCCTGGCGATCCGGCGGCGCGATATTGGGCATTGGGATCGGTGGTGATGATGGCTCATCATTGTCGTGATGTCGATGGCGATGCTATGGACCAGTTTGACTGACGATGCTTCTGCGCCCCCGTGAACAGACACCGCTTTTCGGCAACAACGTCTCAAGGCATGGCAGTAAGTTCGACGACATTTAAATGACACAGGAAGTCGAGACACAGCGGGAGAGAGTACACCCGCTCACAACGCATCACAGACCTATTCTCACGCCTAAGACCGTGCTGCCGCTCTTTTTCGCAATTGGCATCATCTTTGCGCCCATCGGTGGCGTTCTGCTCTACGTTAGCGCGCAGGTACAGATGATTCAGCTCGATTACACCAACTGTGACAACCAGGCGCCGACGGCAGGTTTCGAGGCCATGCCGTCTGACGCCGTCAAGATGCAGTTCAAGGCATCTAGCAACTCAACGACGGCCGCCGCTATGTGGAAGCGCACGCCCATCGAGGTCACATACGACGGCGTCAAGGTGCCTTTCCCCGTCAACGTGTGCAGCCTGCAGTTCGACATCCCCGAGAGCATGGGCCCTCCCGTGCTCTTCTACTACCACTTGACCAACTTCTATCAGAACCACCGTCGCTACGTCAACAGCTTCTTCGACAAGCAGCTTAAGGGCGACGTTGTCAGCGACTCCGACGTCAAGGGCTCCAAGTGCGACCCGCTCGAAGTCAACAGCACCGGTGCCGCGTACTATCCTTGCGGTCTCATTGCCAACTCCTTTTTCAACGACACCTTCTCCAGCCCCGTGCTGCTCAATGTCCAGGACGGCAGCAGCGACAACGAGACGTACGTCATGCAGAACCAGACCAACATTGCTTGGAGCTCCGACAAGTCGCTGTACGGCAAGTTCCCGTCGTCAATGAGCTACTCACAGGTCTCGCCGCCTCCCAACTGGATCCACCGATACCCCAACGGTTACACCGAGTCGAACCCGCCGCCCGACCTGTCCACGGACGAGTCCCTCATGGTGTGGATGCGCACTGCTGGTCTGCCTACCTTCAGCAAGCTGGCTCAACGCAACGACACCACCGCCATGCGCAGCGGGACCTACCAGGTCGATGTTATTAGCTGTAAGTGTTTGACTCGCCTGGTCACTCGTGCGGGTGACGGACCTGCGAATGATTGCTAACCCTCTCTTCTTCTCTCTAGTCTTCAACGTTACCGAGTTCCGCGGCACAAAGTCCATTATCCTGTCCACCCGTACTGTCATGGGCGGCCGCAACCCCTTCCTGGGCATTGCCTACCTCGTTGTCGGCGGTATCTGCATCCTCCTGGGTGTTGTGTTCACCGTCACGCACATGATTAAGCCAAGAAAGCTGGGTGACCACACATATCTGTCCTGGAATAACGCGCCGGCGCCCTCGCGACAGGCTGATGCCGGTGGTGCTGGTGGCAGTGCTGTCCTCGCATCGGGCCGGGACGTCGGCGGCAGCGGGGCGTAGAATGCCATGTCCAAACCGGCGCAGTTGGTTGCAGCGTTTGGTTCCGGAAAGAATCCCATGCGGGCAAAATAGTCTCGGTGTGTGCAGACGTACTTTGGATTTAACTTTTTGCGGCCGAATTTGTGGTGCACTCCCATTCTCGTCGCTTTTTCTGATTCCTTAGCTCTCATCTTGTTGCTTCTCTTGGCTTGTTTCTTGTTTTTTGTGCTCTTCTTTTCTTTTTGGCTTATGGATGTTTTTCCGACTATTCTCATTTCGTGTCATTTATTTGCTTTTCACACCGTGCATGACAAGTATCAACACACTCGAGCGGCCTGGACGCTGTAACTTGTATTATGCACCTCCACAGCAAGAGGCAATTGCTTCGTATGCTTTCGTCCCCGCAGTTCACATTCCTCCATTTCTATGTAATTTCTCTGTATAATGGCGTTGCGCAAAAGGGATATTTTTGTATGGTTAAAATAAATTTGATTTTATGGATCCCTCCTTTGGTACTATCTCCAGTGAATGCCTTTTATTTGAAATACACGTCCTTTTTTCTCATTTTGCTCGGCTGCTTCTGCTCGTCACGTCTCGAGGCTCAGCAGACAGCTCCATAAGATGCTCGAACCCACAGCTTCAGTCATCAACAATAAAGTCTTCAATTTTTTCCTTTTCGCAAACGCATGTCGCAAAGAACAAAAAACAAGTCCCATTTTACAGAAATAAAAAGCAAAACAGAAAGAGCATAACAAGATACGAATATAGTAAAAAAAGACAATGACGAAAGTGAACAGATAGATAAAGGAATGTCGTCAGTGTGGTTATATTATGTTCAATGCAGCGTGAAAATTGCCATCGAGACCTTCGCGCGACCCCTGCTCAACCATGTGTTCTCCGTCCTAGCGCCTGCGCGACTTCTTGCTACCGCGGTCGTCGTCGTCTAGGTTTGTGTCGCGGTCGCGTTTCTTCGCCTTTCGCTCGAGCTCGTCCCAGCTCTCGCCGTCTTCCTCCTCGCTGGCGTCCTCATCGCTTGCCTCGTCCGAGGCATTCGAATCAAAATCGGAGTCTTCCTCGCTCGACTCAGACGGCTCCTCGAGCTCGCTCTCGCTCATCTCGAACGCACTCTCCTCCTCCTCCTCAGAATCGCCGTCTTCGTCGTCCGACTCGTTCTGTAGGAAGCCCCAACCACCGTCGGCAAAGAACTGGTGCGTGTCGGCGGTGACCGTCTTCATGATCGTCGGCCAGTTGAGGTTCAGCGGACCCTCAGAGTACGCAATGTCTGACGAGTCCAAAAACTCCTTCACGTCCTCGAGCGACTCAACGGGGATCGTGTTGACGTGGAACGGCGGGCGCGAAAAGTCTTTGAAAACAAACACCAAATCGAAATTTTTGAGTCCAAATTGCACGCGCTCCAAGTGTGCCACCTCAATCTCTTCGAGCGTGACAACCATGAAGGGCGGCTCCGTCAGCTGGATCAAACACTCGGTTGTCGGCTGGATGTAGACGTTGCTACGGAAAGGCACGCCATTGAAGCCGATCTCGCGAATCGGCATGTCGACCTCGAGGTTCTCGTTGCGGCCGGCCTCGGCAATCTTCTCGGCAAAGCTCTTGAAGAGGCGGTCCAACTCAGCGCGCCGGCGACGCTCCTCCTGCTCGGCCTCGAACTCGTCCTCGTCGCCGTACCGGTACTTGCGCTTCCGGTTGCCGGTCTCGTCGAACTGGATGTCGGTGGCTTCGCGGTAGAACTGCACATCCTTCGTCTTCTTCTTGTTCCCTATGATGATCGGATCCTTCAGATGGATGTGGATGATGACAATCAGCTCGTGCTGCGACGGCTGGAAGAAGAGGTGGCGGACGTTGGAGAACAGAATGTCGACACGCTGGTGCGCGCTCAGCGGCGACTGGTAGCGGATACCGTTCTGGTGGATCTCGACCTTTCCTGGCACGCGCTTGCCTTCCATGGCCGGGCGGATAAAGACATTATCAAGTACGGCTGGCCGCCGGTTCCGGATTTCAATCAGCTTGTCCTGCTCTACAACATCCTCCATGTCTTTCTTCTCCTGCTCCTTCTTGGTGGCGTCACGCTTCATGCCAGCAATTTGATTGGCAATGTCGTTGTAGCGGTCACCGTCTGTCGAGCGGAACGTCAAGCTGCGCACAAAATGGGCAGACGCATCCTCAAACGGCTGATCATCTTTGCGGCCGACGCCCTGGCCCGGAGATAAGAAGTTGACGCGGAGGAACGACCAATCGCCCTCGTCGCTCTTGCTTGCGTTCTTGATCGTGTTGATGTGGAACGGCACGGGACGGCCCATGATGGGCAGGATGACGGTGCTGTTCTTGGTGTCGACAACGATGCCGAGATCGCGAACCTTTAGCGGGAATTGGTTGTCCCGCTTGTACGATTCGAAGCGTTTGAACTTCTTGATCTCTTTGCCGTTCTGGCCGCCGGTGGCCTCAGCAAAGCGCTCCAGGCCTTCGCGCTGCTTCTTTTGCGCGAGTTCTTTTTGATGCTCGCGGCGGCGCTTATCGCCATCCTCGTCCACCTGCGTCGAACGCTCTGAACGCAAGCGCGTACTAGTAATGTTCTTGGTAGCAACAGCGCCGACGCGGGCATCCTTCTTCTCTTTCTTAGGAGTGGGTTGAGCCTCTTCTTCGTCTTTGAAGAAGAACGAGCTTGCGTCAGCATCGCTCGGTGCATCACCTGTGAAAATGACCGGCTCGCCGGCTGTGACACGAATGGTGTCGGTAATGACAAGCGAGTAGAGCTTGTCGTTCTTGTCCTTGGACTGCGCGTTCTCGATGTCGCTGAAGCCCGTCGTGATGCAGAGCGTCATGCCATCCTTAAGGACACGAGTGTTCTTGCCGTTGAGGAGCAGCGTAGAGTCGCGGTTCTCCAGACCGATGCCATAGCCAATATTTTTGATAAAGTTCTTTTCCAGCTCCGGTTTCTTGCTGCGAATGTAGCCGAGGGCCTTGGCGTAGACATCTTTGCAAAGAACGCCGTCGCTGATCTCTTTGAGAGCAAGGCTGTGGACAGCCGACAAGAGGCGGTAGTTGCTTTCCTGCGCCTTGTTGGGGTCAACCAAAAATGTGCGCGCAATGGTCGAGCAGTACGACTTGTAGCGCATGCCCAAGGCAGCAATAATAATACCGGGCCGAAGGTAGTCGTTGTTGACCTCGGTCTGCCACTTGATGTCGAATTTGCCGCCGCTCTGAACAATTGGGCCAAGAACCCAATCAAGCTGCTCGACGTCAAACTCGGCCGGCAGTTTCGATTTGTTGGGCAACTCGACCGTCTTCCAGAACTTCTTGTTGTCGATCATCTTCTCCACCTTGTCGACAAGATCGGTGTGGCGGATCTTTGTGTCCTGGTCGAGAACGTCGGACATCTCATCTAGGAAGTAAGGATGCATCAAGGCAACGCAGGCCCGAGATGCTGTACGCATGGCACGGAGCTCCGTCTCGTTCTTGACTGCGAAAGCAGCAGACGACAGGGCGGCACTAATATCCACCTGCTCAATATCCTTCCCGTTTTCCTCCAGCGTCTTTTTCCACTCGTCGACAAAGGGGCCACGGGACGTGTCCTTGGTGAGCACGCCGAGTTTCTTGCCCGATGTCCGGATGGCATCGATAACCTTGAGGAACAGCTTGTCGTTCTCGGCAGCGTCTTTGCCGCGCACAAGCACCTCGACCGGGAAGCGGCCGCCCTTGATCTGGTCGAGGTACTTTGCCTTTTTCGCCGTTGTCAGGATGTAGAGGGTCTCCTGCGTCAAGAGCATTAAGGTCGTAGGAAACTCGTAGCCCAGTAGCCAAAACTGATCAAGTTAGCCCTTCGTCCTCTTGCTGTCATTGCTTCACTTGGCATCCAACCCCATCACTGGAGCAGTGACTCACATGAACTGCATTGTTCTTCTGATACTCGGGCACCTCCTCAACTTTGCCCATCATTACGAGGATGGAGCTCGCACCGTTGAACACGCCATCATCACCAGCTCGCTTCGCGTCGGCCTTCCAGGCGTTAACAAAGTCGCCCACGCGGTCCTGGAACGTCTTGGCGTCAATCGTGATTTCGGACATAGCGCCCGTCCTCGGAGGTTGCGATGTGGTGCGCAGTGGTGCGACCGCTTCGCCCGGATGTCGTAATGTGTCGATGTGCTCGAATGGGAGACCGTAGCTTGAAGCTATCGCGGCTACACAGGCAGGCAGCAAGTGAGGGCGGATAAATGACTGGGAACGGACGGTGCTTTGATGAAATACAGCGAGCCCGAGAGTCGAAATGATACTGGCGAGATGATGGTGAGAAAGGGAAACGATGAGAGTGAACAGAGAGGTGGCCTTGCTGGACTTCTGGCCGCAAAAAGCTCTACTGTTTTGGGGACCTCATTTAGCAAAGGCGGATCCCCTTTCGCGTCAATCACGTAGCGCGTCAGTGAAGGCGCCTTTGCTTGGAAATGTTTTCTGCCTGAGGCATGTACGGTAGTACCCAAAGCGTAAATATATATGGGTTTATTACATATTCTTATATTACAGCTTGGTGTTAACCCGCTTTAGCGCATGCACGATCAACACCGCCGCTTGTGGGTCGATCCGCGCCCTGTGCCAAGTTGGAGAGGGGAAGGGCGCGTATGAGTTTTTTTTTTAATATTCACATCTTTCCTGAACAAATGTAATGCTATCATGCACACCGGGAGAAGCGCGAGGGGTTTGTAGTCCGCAAAGCCACCATGTGCGGGTGGGTTGCAGGGTAATAATTCCATGGATGAACGGAAAGAGCAAAACAAAGTGACGAAAAGGAGGAAAGTCTACCACGCCCGCGACCGGAAGGAGTTCAGAGCTCCTTCTCCATGACTCTGACATGTGGATGGTGCTCCTTTGGACTTGCCGGACACTCTTTCTGCTTTTAGTCAGGTCGTGCCGCACGCTGTTGCCTCGTCACCAGCGGTTCAGAGCGGGACAGAAGGTACGACGTAATACTCCGTAGTAAAATGGTGGGAAAGACTTAGCTCCATGCCAGTATTTCTAAGCAGCACCTTCCTCGTGCGCAACTCAAAGCTAGAGACGAAAATGTGCCAAGAAAAAAAAAGTGAAAAAGGCCGGCCATACGATCCCGAGATATCACCTTTAAAACCGTCGAGTCGCCCCTCTGCCAGGACAGCAGCGAGGACCGCGTCCAGGACCATAGCCTTCCGGCCTTTGTTTCTCCAAGGACCGACCGGCGCTGACGAGCATATCCCAAGTGTCGTCTCTCCCGCGCGCCGCAGTCGGCCGACCCGAATCGACGGATCTTTTTTTTGTCTTTTCCCTCCCCCCAATCAGCGTCAATCTCAGACACATCACTTCTTACACACTGTAACCTGGGGCGAGCTTCACTATCGTCTTGCCTCTTTCTTGGCCGTTGCTCTCTAGCCAGCCAACCGCGTCGCCCGTTTGTTGCGTGCCCGGATGACGACATTGCTTCCTCACTGCGACTTCAACGAGAACGTTACGTTGATTCGGCCAGGGCCGCCTTAGACGAGCCTCGACCTGCATCGCGTGGGGGGGACCAGGCTGTTGCGTGGCACTGCGTGGGCATCTCGAAGCTTTAAGCTCACCAAGCGATTTGCTTGTCTCTGGACACTTTGAGCTTTATGTGCTCCCAAGAGGCTTTGTTTTTCTGGCTGTTATCTTGGTGCATTTTATTGCCTTTTTTTGGCCTTAGAGCTGCGCAGGTGATTTTTTGTTCATTTCCCATTCGTCCTCCCGTTTATATTTACGCACACTGGATATTTTCTATTTTTGCGAGATTCGTCTCTTGTACTTCGACGTTCACAACCAGCGTCCTCGCCAGAGAACGTCTGCAATTAACTCCTCTGCGGCTGACGCAGCTTCACAATGGGTCTCTTGTAAGTGCCACCGCATGCGAGCAAGACATGGTATTTTGAGTCGGCCAGGGGCCACGGCTAATCATCTCCAAATTTGTGGCTGTAGACAGCTCGGCACGGCATTGGATTGGCCGGAAGCCAAGGCGCACGCTGACCAGGTCCGCAAATGGGGCATCAAGGTGAGCGGAAGGGCGCATGTTGCAACCAGCCGGTGCCAGCGTATTGTGGTTCAATGTGCTAAGAAACTGACTGGCCGCATAGCAACTCCTCGAGATCTGGAATAAGGCCAAGACGAAAGAGAGGGACGCCCTGCTCTGGGGCGATGAGGTCGAGTATCTCGTTGTGACGTATGACAAGGATGATCCTCGATCACTTCTGTCTCTGCGCCAGGCCGACATCCTCGATGCCCTGGCCAACGACGCTGTCCTGGCGGCCAAGGGCGGCTGCACAGAAGGCCACGCTGACGTCACAGATGCTGCCGGGAGCAAGTCCAAGTATGTTTCGTCGTGCCCACCACCGTTTCCCTTTTCCCAAGTGGCTGTCATGATGTGAAATCTAACACACCATAGCCAAGACCCGCTGCCGGTCTTCCATCCCGAGTTCGGCCGGTTCATGCTCGAATCGACACCGGGTAAACCGTGGGGCATTGAGCTGAAGGAGCTCATCGATGTCGAGCCGAACATGCGGCTACGGAGAGTCATTGCCAAAGACCACATGCGTTCCGACGAGTACCCAATCACCCTGACGACGTTCCCGCGACTGGGGTTCCCAGGCGTGTTTTCGGACCCGTATTACCCCGTGTCGGGCCCCAAGCTACGGTCACAATTCGTGCCAGATGAAATTGCCAACCCGCACATACGCTTCCCTACGCTTGCCGCCAACATCCGCACGCGCCGCGGCCGCAAGGTCCAGGTCAACGTGCCCGTCTTTCGCGATGTGAACACACCCTGGCCGTGGAAGGACCCAACTGTCAACTACGACCTCAACAAGTACCCCGAAGATGCCGACGTGCGCAATGGTTCCGCTCCGGACAACTTCATCCACATGGATGCTATGGCCTTTGGTATGGGCAGCTGCTGCTTGCAGATCACCTTCCAGGCCAAGAACATCACCGAGGGCCGTCGGCTCTACGACCAGCTCAGTCCTCTGGGGCCCATCCTGTTGGCGCTGACGGCGGCGACACCAATCTACAAGGGCTTTTTGGCCGATACGGACGTGCGCTGGAACCAAATCAGCCGCGCCGTGGACGACCGCACACCAGAAGAGCTCGGAGAGAAGCCGCTGAAGAATGACCGCTGGCGGATACCCAAGTCACGATACGCGTCCAATTCAACGTACATCTCGACCGACCCGCGGCTGCGGCCTGAATACTTGGACCCGGACCTTGTGGTCGATGAGGAAATCAAGGCGGAGCTGATCCAGGGTGGCATGGATGACCGCCTGGCGACGCACTTTGCGCACCTGTTCATCCGCGACCCGATTGTCATCTTCTCCGAGGACCTGCAGACGCTCGACCTGGACCAGACGAACCACTTTGAAAACCTGCAGTCGACCAACTGGCAACACATGCGCTTCAAGCCGCCGCCGCCAGACAATAGCATTGGATGGCGTGTTGAGGTGCGGCCCATGGAGGTGCAGGTCACCGACTTTGAGAACGCCGCGTTTGCCGTCTTCATTGTGCTTGTGACCCGTGCCATCCTGTCATTTGACCTCAACTTTTACATCCCCATTGCACGTGTGACAGAGAACATGGAGACGGCGCATGCGCGTGACGCCGTTTTGAACGAGCGGTTTTACTTCCGGAAGAACCTCTTTAATGCGCAACGGGCCCATCGGTATGGCCGCCATCGGTCGCCACACGGCGACGGCACAAACAGTGCCTACGCCTCAGGCACAACGACGCCCGTCGCACAGAGCCGGCCGGAGACGCCTGTAGCGCTGGGCTCGGTGGAGGACGAGTACCGGCCAATGACGATCAATGAGATTATAAACGGCACCGGATATCCAATGTACGGCGCCGACAACGACGACCAATCGAATGGCGAGCCTGCGTCGTCACCAGCTGACCCTCCCTTCCCCGGCCTCATTCCGCTAGTCGAAAGCTACCTCGACTCCATGAACGTCGACGTGCAGACCCGCTGTCAACTGTCCACGTACCTCGACCTTATCCGTAAGCGCGCATCCGGCGAGTTGTGGACGGCCGCCCGTTGGCTTCGGTCGTACGTCGACCAGCATCCCGAGTACAAGCACGATAGTGCAGTATCAGAGCTTGTGACCCGGGACATTGTCGGTGCCGTCATTGACATTGGTAAACGTGAGACGGATGGTGCAGGCTGGAAGGGCATGAATGTGCCAGGAGTCGACCGGCTACTGGGCGACTTTAGTGGTTGCGGCGGGGATGTGAAATGCTAGATACTAGATGCCAGGTGGCACTTGTCTATTGGCTTCAGTCCCAAAGATTTATTTGCATATTGTTTGTTTTTTGCATTGTTTTTGTCCTTGGTTTTAATTTTTGGAGTAGCCGTACATGAAGCGTTGCGTTTGTACACAGTGTCCCGTCCTAAATGGATTGTCGTTTTGACGAGGAGCTTGGCAATGAAACTTTTTTTTCTTTCTTTTATTGCACGAAGCTGAAAGGGTTGTCGTATTCTGTTCCTCCTCTCACTTGCATGTCAAGCAAATCATACCTGTGTTAAAGGTAGCCGGTAACTGCTTCTTGCAGTGTTTGATGATGGTCCTGTCTCGGCAATTTGCCGTTTTATGGCATGCAAGATTAGAGGAGGTCACTCAGGCAGCCAGCAAATAGAAAAAGGACACATGAGACAGGGAGATGATTGCGTCAAGTGTGGTCAGGGTCTGAATCAACACAGAGACATTTCGGATGCAAGGACGGTGTGAGAAGCTGTTTCTAGACCACACAAACAGGTCTGGAGATGGCTCGCGTCCATTTCTGGCCCGTGTTGTCTCGTCATCTCTGTCGGCCTATCTATCCGCTTCGAGGACACCAGATTATGCTCCATCAATGCAAGGGTCGGGGCAAGACACGAACCGGGTTGCAGGCGACCCTGGTGAAGCTGTCCTACCTACGACGTTCGGCGTGGTCTGGTCTGGGGCAGACGAGAGACTACGAACAAGCATAAATGCCGCTGTATTCGGACTCGAGCCATCGAATAAACGGCGTCTATCGTATCTATCGTACTCAGTATGGAGTACTTGCGCCAGAGAGAAATCGGCATGATCTGAACATTGTTTCTCAGCCATTGACAACCCAGACAAGAGTGAAAGGGAAGAGGGGAGATGTCTAGAAACAAAATGCAACCTACAGGGAGCTTCCCTTTCACTCCCAGACCACAATCTTGCCCTCTTCTTTTGTCTTGTTCCCTCTTCTTCCCTTGTCCGGATTACTTCCTCCTCCTTCCCAGGAGACACGCCATAGTCCGACGACAGCAAAGCCGAACTGGGATTTGCAGGGGACGCAACGGCGATCAGCGTCCAGCCCTCATTTTCTGACCTTTCTCTTGTCATGTCCACCACTCCGCCGATTTGTCTCTCCCTGCTCGTGATTATTCCTCTTGTCCATCGTGTTTCACAGTGCGGTGCCGAGAATGCAAACGAGTGCCAGCGAGCCACTGTGAAGGCGAGGCGGTCAGAAAGGGTAGCTTTGGTAGTTAATCACTAAAAAACGTTTTTTTTTTTTTTAAAAAAAATAAAAGGACAAAACGTCGGGGGAAAAAGGTGAGAAGAGACAAAAGACAAGGTACGTGGAAGCCCACATCTCTTCGATCCGCACACAAGACGCACAAGCAAGCAAACAGCCGCCGTACACACAGCAGGGAGAGACATGCACACGCATTGTCGACTCCCTGCAGTTTATTCTGCAAGGAGCCTCGACGACCAGGAAGATGCATGGGTTGCAGGTGAAATGTCTATTTTGGGTTAATGATGTCTTGCTTTTTTTCTTTTTCTTTTTTTCTTTTTTTTTTCCACCTCCCTGTAACTTTCAAGTCTTTTTCCAAACATACTTTCCCCTTCTACTTGACCTCCCTCTCGTGCATTGTCACGTTTTTTGGGCAGGTGCAAACCCAGGGCTGGCTGTGACTTTGTGGGACTCGACGTGGCAAGTCACAATGTCTTTGCCCTTCTCTGCTTGATGGATGTTTTGTATGAATACGCGTACTTTTCCTTCGTTTGCTTCCCATCATTCTCGGCGTGCAGCGGATTCTACACCAATCAATGACAACGTCAATGCACGGAGTACGTCGTATGGCACTTGGTGTTCTCTGCATCTGTTGGGTTGTATTTATGTATATCGTTAGTTCGTTTGCTTTTCCATCACTTCTTAATAGCCTCTTCACTTAGAGACATGGAACGATAATACAAGGCAAAAAAAAGAAAAAAAGAAAAAAAAAAGAACCGCCGCCTGGAAGGGACGCTCTCTTCTGTGGCCAGTGTCTTACGACGTACAACTGTTCACGCCCCTTGTGCAATCACTATGAACAGATGGAAGAAGGAAGAGCGCACGCGAAGCAACCTCTTCCTTACCTCATACACACCGGGATCGTTGTTTGTCTCCGATGGCGTGCGGGCCAAGCCCATCTGCAAGAATGAAAATGGCCCTCGCCGGCAGGCTCAGGGGCTCTGGTTTTTGGTACGTCATGTAGTACGACATATGTTTGACGATGTGAAGCGTTTATCCATTTTTTGACCCCGATTTACAATTTACCTCGTCGAGATAAGGACTTGTTGAGTGCAGGACAGTGTAAAGCTGTCTGTTCTTGATGCTGTCGCCTTCTCATTTCTGTTTCCTTTGCTTCATCCCGTTACCCGCATTTCTTTGTATTCTGCTTTCTTTTTCGTTCTCTGGGCTCCGTTTTGTCTCTGCCGTGCATCTTTTCAGCTGTGTCGGGATCGTCATTGACATCAACGCAATTGTGGCTTGGTGAAACATAAATGTCTTGGACGGTTTCTCCGCATCCCGGACGCTATTGTACTTTGTAGAGAGAAGCCGAAAAAAAAAAATAGAAAGCGGTAACTTCGTAAATTCTCAGGTGGCGATGAGAAATTGAAGCGTATTGTTCTACAGGGCGGAGACCACACTCCATGCTCCTTCCTGTCTTTTCGCCGACAGCGGCTCTTTAACAGCAGCTTCTCGACACCGGAACAAATTCCGCATCGGCGAGCCCCGAGGGCTGGTAGTTGGGGAAAGAGGACAGGGCTGGCAGCATCCATCGACCACAATTCCAACCAACGAGGAGAGTCCTTCTGGGTGCCAAATAATGGCACGGTGCGTTCCTTCCGCTAAGGATCTGAACCTTTCGTGAGCAACTGTTCTTGTCTTTTTCCGCTATCCCCCTTCCCCCCCTCTTTTTCTTTCTTGCTTATCGCGTGGTCGTGTATACCCTCTTTCTTGTCTCCCCCTTTCCCTTTCTCACTATGTATTTCTTCCCCATTATGTCGTTCATAATCTTGCATATTTAGCCTCTCGGCCCGGCAAGCGGGAAACGGAAACCAAATCGCCAATGTGGGCCTGTGTGCCTGCCGGCTACGCAATGGGCGATAGAGAACATTTGAAGGTCATGGAGCGGAGAACCGCCTGTCGTATCTTGTGAATTTCCAGCTTTTTTCTTTTTCTCAATTCTCGTTTGTCATGGCTTCGAATTTGAGACTACGAGAGAGGAGACAGGATGCGAGGAGACTGTGAGTTGGCGAGACACAGGCGAGATCGAGTAAAGAAACGGCAAGGATCGTCGTATCGTCGTATCTTCTTTAGGCAAGAGGCCCTTGAGAAAGACAATTGAGTTAACGACGAGAACTAAAACGACAAGAAAGACAAGAATGGAAGTGGAAAAGGAAAGACGAATGGAAAATATACACAGAGCCGAGAAAAGAAGCGGAACGACTTGCTTACCGAAAAGATCGGCGCGTCCCAGCCGCAACTGCACATATTTTTCGTCTTCTGGCCCGGGTTGCTACGTGCCTTGCCGGGTGCATGTACTCTCAATGTGTACGTCGTGTGTGTGCGTGTGTGTAATGCGACGTAGGACGTGGGACGTGGGACGTGGGACGTAATTACTCCGCTTTGCTTTCGTTTTCCTTTGCACGTTGTGTTTCTCGCTGTGTTTCTCGTCCGGTGCGTCTGCCCGCTTCTTCGGCGTGGATGTCTCGTCTCGCTGTCATGACCTGTCATATATGCACTGCACACACTCGACTGACAAGGGATATGGATTGGACATGGACGTTGGGCTGATGGACTGTTGGACTGTGATATCTGCGAAACAATAAAAGACTTGCATATCGGTGGGGCGAGGCAAACGGGTCCGTTTTGCATCTCGTCCCGTTGGTGGTGCCTTCATTTGCATCGCCGATGCTCTCCCATCGCTTGTTGGAGAGAAAATACAGCATAGAGAGATGCAAAATAATGAAAAGTGGATATACGGCGAACTTCGTAGGCAGGTCACACAACGTGGTAAAGATTTCTCACCAGAGCACTAGCATGCCGATAAATTCCTTACCAATGTACGATGTATCGCAGCAAACATCAAACAGCAAACAAACCAACGGCCAGCAGACAAAGGCCATACAGCCACGGCACAAATAACGCAAAGGCGACGCCAGATGCTTGACAATGTCCGGGGGTACCGTCTCGTTTGTTCGTCTGTGTTTGAAGACGTGCTTCTGTCCCCAGCACTTTGTTCCTTGTTCTGCTGGTTCTCGAAATGTTATCACCTACAACGTACGCCGTAAATACTCCGTATATGTACGGACGCTGGGGCGTTGCTCTCCCTCCTTCGTCCATCCCTTCCTTCCCATGGGGCGCTTGAGCTCGGTTGGGGACCATCGGAAAGGCAGCACAGATCAGTGGGGGGGTGGTAGGCGGTTGCCATCTGCACATCCTACGTGGTCGCCTCTCATACGAACGAAATATGCTCCGCCTTGGGACAAATGTGGACAATCAGCGGGCAGGTGTGGACAGGTGTGGGCTGACATCCAACGAAAAGCGAGATAAAAGCTGGGAATATTGGCGGGGATCACCGATCCGGCAGAATCGCCCAGATCGTCCCTTTTCCTTATTTTGCTTTATTCTACTTTTTATTCTTCTTTTTTAAATGGTTTATTGTTCGAAGCTTCCCACACTCGGGAAGAAGAGGGTGGGCTGCGAACCTAGATCCTCTTGGTACACACATATCCGTGGCCTGTCTTTCTCTAGTTCTGGGAAGGTTTTGTTTTTGGTATCTATGCATTATTTTCAGTGTCTCCTTTCGAGCCCCAAATTTACAAAGGCATTAATTAAAACTCCGTGCAAACGCCTGTATTCCGTACTACTGCCGCGCACGCTGTAAGTACATATACAACGTACATTTTCATCATTCATCATCTCCACTTTAACGTAGGCTGGATTTTCTCACACCCTT